GGAAAAGAAAACAAGAACGCTAAGAACCATGTCGAGGAAAATGTACCAAATCAGCTTTTTTGAAAAAAAATGATGTGCATTTACTATACAGTAAAATAATGCTAAGTTCAGAACATCGAAAAAAATACATCTAATTAATTTTTTTGTGTATGTTACATGAACTGTTGAAAAAAATTTTTGTGTTCGGTGGTACTGTATATAAAAAAATTGATACGTCAAAAAAAATAGTCAGTACCACAAACGAATGAGTTGCGTGAATCACACGACTTCGTTAAGTCAAATAAGTGTGCAGATATTCTGGGAACCTTACGGTGCGTCCAGAACGGGTTTTCTTGGGAGGCTCGATAGAAGGTTCGGTAGCTGTCGCTGTGCTAGTGACTTCATCGATGTCTACACGATCTTCTGTTACTTGTGGATTTTGGGGTACGTTGAGCTCTATGCTAATAGGATTACCCTCCAAGTAAGCCGGTTTCAGACGGTCAATGCTGACGGTGTCCTCGCGGCCGTTTTTGTCCAAGACAAAGAATTTATCAGAACGTTTAATTACTTATAAGGTCCGTCGTATGGGGGTTCCAGGGGTCTGCGCACAGAGTCGCGACGAACAAATACATGTGAAGAAGTTTTCAAACACGGATGAACGAAAACATCAATGGACTGTGGACGAAGGGGAGCAGGTTTAACTGAACGCATTGCGTTTGTAAGCCTGCTGACGTATGAAGCGTGATCTACCACTGGTGGGAAGCTCGAGGGAGAAACAAATTCACCAGGCAGTCGCAGTGTCGTGCCATATACTAGCTCGGCGCTAGTACAACCAGCATCGGTTTTCAAGGCGTTTCGTATCCCTAGGAGAACTAACGGAAGGGATTCAGTCCAATGGGTGGTGTTTGCAGCTGACAGACCAGCTTTCAGCTGTCTGTGTAGACGTTCTACCATACCATTAGCTTGAGGATGGTAGGCTGTTGTTCGAAATCGCATGCAACCTATGATTTTAGTCAGGGCGAAGAATAAGCCACTTTCGAATTGCCGCCCGCGATCAGTTGTTATGGAAGATGGGCATCCAAAGTTAGCGATCCATCTTTCTACGAAGACGCGTGCGACTGTTTCAGCAGATACGTCCTTGATGGGTACTGCTTCCGGCCATCGTGTGAATCGATCGATGCAAGTTAAAATATAGGTATATCCATGTGATTCAGGAAGGGGTCCAACCAAATCTATATGGACGTGTTCGAAACGAGCGTCAGGGAGAAGAAAGGTGCCAAGTGGGCTTTTGGTGTGTCTTATCACCTTGCACTTTTGACAAGCTAAGCACGTGTGTGCCCATTCCCTTACTTCTTTATTAATGCCAGGCCAACAAAACCGACTAGTTACGAGCTTGACAGTAGTTCGAATACCTGGGTGAGATAAGCCATGCAACGTATTGAAGACGTTACGGCGATAACTTTTAGGCACGATGGGGCGAGGAGTACTCGTGGAAATGTCGCATAGAATAGTATCTCTTCCCATACCTAAGGGTTTCTCAGCTAATTGTAGAGTTGTTTTCGACAACTCATGTTGAAGCTCGGTATCTTCTTTTTGAAGACGAGCCAGTTTTACAAGGTCTATGCCGTCGATTTGGGTGAGGGAACAAACGCGCGACAAGGCATCTGCCACAGTGTTGTTTACTCCGGATACATGGCGAATATCTGATGTAAACTGTGAGACGTAATCCAGTTGTCGTGATTCCCTGGGTGAATACTTATCTGAAGGTGAGTTCAGAGAGTACGTCAGAGGTTTGTGATCAGTAAAAATTATGAATTCACGACCCTCTACCGAATGTCTAAAATGTCGTATAGCACAGTACATAGCCAGAAGTTCTCTGCCGAATGTGCTGTACTTCGTTTCAGCTAATTGAAGGCGCCTGAAGAAAAAGGCGAGTGGTTGCCACTCTAGCTGTTGTAGAACTGCGCCGATTGCAGTGTTTGATGCATCAACCGAGATACTTAACGGTGCCGTTGGATCCTGATACATCAGAAGTGTGGCATTCGCAATAGCTTTTTTAATCTGGGTAAAAGCATTTCGAGCAGACGCGTCAAGTTCTATGGACTTGTTATTCCCTCGAAGGAGGTCTGTCAATGGCTGAATCAAAGAGGCACAGTTGGGAATAAAGCGTCGATAATAACTTACTAAGCCGTTAAAAGTGCGGAGACTTTTCACCGTCTGTGGCTCTGGAAAGTTCAGTATAGCCTCGACCTTAGTAGCCAGTGGGCGAATGCCCTTGCAGTCAATAGTGTGACCCAGGAAGTCGAGTGAGTCAACACCGATTTGACATTTTTGAATATTAATGGTAACACCATGTTGGCGTAACCTGTCAAATGCCAAGTCCAAGTGCCTAAGGTGAGTTTCCTTGTCTGGACTGGCAATGAGGCAGTCGTCTAAGTATGCGTATACAAAGTCGAGACCGCGAAATACTTCGTCAATGAAGCGTTGGAATGTTTGGGCTGCATTCCGGAGACCGAATGGCATACGTAGAAATTCAAAAAGTCCGAAAGGCGTAATGATAGCCGTTTTCGGGATATCTTCTGTTGCCATCGGGATTTGGTTATACGCTTTAACCAAGTCGATTTTGGAGAATATAGTCGCGCCGGATAAGGTTGCCGTCAAGTCGTGTATATGAGGCAACGGGTAGCAATCAGGGGTTGTTTTGGCATTCACTCGCCGGTAATCACCGGTGGGTCGCCAATCGTTGCTATCCTTTTTCGGAACCATATGAAGTGGGGATGCCCATGGGCTATTCGAAGGTCGAATGATGCCAAGGGTAAGCATATGGTCAAATTCATTCCTGGCGATTCTCAGTTTGTCAGGAGCTAATCGTCGTGCTTTAGATGTCACAGGTTGTCCTGTGGTAATGATGTGGTGCATAACATTGCTGGTTATGCACGGTAGGTCGTTCGACGGGCAATTAAGTTCCGGATACTTGTCAACATAGGTTGAAAAGTTGGATCAAGGATTGCCTTTATCTTAACGGGTGACAAACTAGGGCCTATGTAGCTGATGCCTTTGATAGACAGACTAGTAGTATTGTCAATCAGTCGTTTTCGGCGGACGTCTACGAGTAAATCATGATGATTAAGTAGGTCCGTGCCAATGATGGGCATTGTAACGTCAGCGAGAAGGAAAATCCACCGAATAGGTTTGCGTAAACCTACGTTCAGATAGACGTATTTCCTACCAAAGGTTGCGATTGGTTTTCCATTTGCAGCCTGTAAGTTGAAGGTAGGTTCCTTCTGTCGATCTGCTGCTGTAGCAGGAAGGACGCTGACTTCGGCGCCTGTGTCGACTAAGTATCGAGTCTGGCTTATCACATCATGGATGTAAAGAAGGCGGCTAGTGCCACCGGCGACGGTTGCCGCTAACGCGTGCCGGCGGGATAGTTTCCCACAGACTTTGAGACATTTCCGAAGTTACAAGGCTTACGGCAACACTTCGCTTCTTGGCCATAGGTGTTGTGGTACCAGCACCAGTCAGGGTTTTTCAGTGAACGTGGTTTGGACTTAGATCGACCACGTGAGTTCCTGCGTTGAGGAGATTTAGGACGACGGTCGAAGTTAGAATGCATGTTTGACCTAAACATCTGCTGAAGGGAGTTGCATAACTCTATCATTGCAGGATCCTTACTCGAAGTCTGCTTAGTCATCGAGCATATTTCGGGAACTGACCGTTTAGTTATTTCTAGAATCTTATCTGCAGTAATAGCTAAGTCTCTATTATAACACCCTGAAGTGTCACAAGTACGGTCTGTACAGACTGTGGCAGCTTGGATAAGAAGAGTTCTCTAAAACGTCCTTCGTCGAACTGACTTTGGCCAATAACCTCTCTCATTCTTGTCAGCATGCTCACGGCTGACTGATCTCCTAACTCGATGTTACGAAATAATTCATCTAGACGTTGTCGGTCCGTGAGAACGTTTCTCCTGAGGAGGGATGCTTTGAGCAACTCGTACGAGTTACTTACCTCGGGACTCAACATCTGTGATGTTACGTACTTGCTGAATTCCCGCGGTAGGGCGTGAATAACTGCAAGTAACTGTGAACGTTGATCGGTTATCCCATGCTCACAAAAATCTGCTTCAGCTAGCAGAAACCACGTTTCAGCATTATCTGGCCAGTATGGTACGAGCTGAATGGTTTTAGTAGTTGAGCGGATGCGAATGACATTGGGACTAAGATCACTCATGACGAAAAGTATGTCGTATGAAATATGGTACAAGAACAAATACAAAAAGGAACGAACTCACCGGGGCTATCTGGGTATTTATCGGAGACGAAGTTCGCCGTTGGGCTCACCAGTTTAGGTGTTGTCGGTACAAAGGTATATTAACGCAAGTTCTCATACCGACAACTTCCAATGTATTTCAACCTCGCGTACCAAAGGCAAAGCAAAAGACAGTATCTGATCGTCCAAATTACACGATATATTTCGGGATCAAAACGAGTTATCAGACGGACGCTTAGCCGGCTAATGATCGTGCACGAACGTGACACAACGGAGTACCAAATAGCGGGGATGCTTGACCGAAAGCCTTCAGCTAAACAAGCCGACTTAAACAGTGATGGTCAGCATCCAATGTTGAGTGATGATTGCTGTGGTCAATAATTTTGGGGAATTATTTACCGCTACAGGTACAAAACTTTCAATCAAACCAGAAATTACATTAACTCGAATATACAAGAAAGAGCTAAACATGCGTGAGACATTGTTAATGACACAAACTTCAATGAAGATACACACAAGTCTGAACAAAAATTGTGTCCACTTATCTTGAACACCACAACGTCACATTCTGACAAGTGACATAGTAGCGCATATATTTAGAACAGACTTTTTCATAATATACGATGCTCACTGAATCCATTTGTGGGGTCGTTAGAAAACCTAGAATTAATTTACAAACTTCTCCACAATCAATTGAGATAGGAATCACTTGGTAGTCTACTGACTTTAACATCACTACATTTGTTTGACTCAATCAGTACATGGTGCTTTCATTTTCCCGATCATACTTGTGATCAGCTGATAAGGTCTTAAGGTTTGCTTCGTTCGGGGGACATTTGCTAGACGAAATAGGTTAGTTGTACTGTTTGGCGATGAGATAAATTTCACAAAGATAAAACAGCATTAATTGAACGCAGAAATGAGGACCTACAAAGATTGTAGTTGATAACTGTAATACATCGTTGCATTTATTTAGGTAAAAGAACTTTCATAACTCGTAGAAACAAGAGTTAGTTGGAATCCTAATTAAGCGCTGGAAGAATTTGTTTGTTAGTGAATAGAACAGGGTCCTAGTTTTAGTGTATCACACATGATTTCTGCATCGAAGTTGAAATACAGAGTAATTAACCGTCCACATCTTCACTTTCCTTTGTAACTTAATATGATCCTTTACTCGTGTGCCTGATGAAGTAAAGTTACCTCTGCAACAACTGGACTAACTCCTGAAGTTCACAAATACTTGTGTGTTTCTATTTTACCTTCATTCCTGGTGTTAGGCTAGTGAGAAAGTTAACAGAACAGTTCTGCTTAAATTCTCTTTGGAAAGACTTCAGCGTATGTTTGTTTGAAATAATAACTTGACTTTTTTATTACTTCTTACGACTTATCGTTAGTGGATACATTTCCTATGGCTAGTATTCCAACCGGTTATATATCTCACTGACTAGAGCGTTTTGCACCTTCATAGTGAATTTCTTCATTGTTACAAAACACCATGGTCAGTGCTACCATATGAGCTTACTTAACGGTGAAGGATGCATGGTCCGCATAAAATTACACGTACTTCTTTGCATAAGACAGTATTCATTATCTGTGCAGCAGATCCAGACAGCATAATGTAGTGCAGTGCTGTAGATAAGTGGCGTCACATCTACCTACTCCACAAAGAAATTGATTTATTTTCTGCCCAGCAAACCGTCGGTACAGGCCTCTTCTAAGTTAGTTTGGGGTTAGTTAGTGTCCACAACAACGGGAAGCGACTGCAGTGATTCATTACTGATGAGTCACAACATGCTATTTCATCCTATCTCGCGAGATGAGTTGGAAATATGGAATCTGAAAATTCCTTCTTACTCTTCACGTCTAGTTTCCACATGAAGTGTTAGTTAGGCCTGCCACTAGTGCGAAACTATTTCCTTTTCTCCTTGAAATATTTCGGGTCCAAATCAACTTCCATGGTGTCGGTTGGAGAAACGTCTTGTTGTCAAGTCTTTGACTGTAGGTTTGAGGTATAGACTATTTGACTGGAGTCATCGAAATGCTACGAACTAATATTTGAAGACTCAGCCATGTATCTTACATGTGTGCACTTATTCTGCGTGTGATTATTTATTTTGTACATTTCAGTTTATTATAGCTTCTTTGCATTTCCTTTCCATGATGTGTATATGCTTAAACTGCTGCACTTTTGTGCGAACTCTCACTTCGATAATTCAGTCCAGGTATGAGCGGTTGGGGTGTATCACTCGCCCACACACTCTTTCTGAAACAGCTCAATAGACTCCTATCATGTACACGTCTGTGCTTACTACTAAACAGACATAACTACGAGACTTGTTCTGCTTCATAGCGGTCAAGTCTGTACTCAAGGAGATAGCTAAACACTTTTGAGTATGACCTGAATACTCACACTGGAGAAACCTGTCATGACATCCAGTCTGTTGTACAGACCGTAGTGAAGACTGTTGATAACATGCAGTTAGATTAGTAAATGTCGATATATTTGTGCAGCTTCACCTGAACTGAATGATTCAAGGAAACTCATCTTGGCAGGTTTTGGACGTGTTGATGGATGAAAGCCTAATAAGTCATCAGGAGAGAATTCCAGGATATTTGGAAATATTGTAAGAAATATTTTAAGAAAAGTTTAACAAGCCTACAGTTGCCTTCTCAAAAATCCGATCTGAGTACAATGAACGCATCAGTCCCCTGATTGTGGTCAAGGTTGCAAAAGTTGTCCTTATTGATTTTTTTTATTCTAAATCACTCAATGCAGGCTTTTTTTTAATGTATCAGGTTAATAGCCACATTTATCATATGCTAAAGTAAATGGAGCAGAACTTGAACCCGTGACCCATTGACTTGAGAACCAAGTGCTTAAGTTATTGAGCCATACCCACTGTCGCTATCGTAAAACGATATGAAGCAGCAGAACGACATTATGAATCCAAATGTGTATAAGAATTGTGTTAATGACTTACTGACCGGAATTATTGTGATATTACTTAGCATATTGGGTTGTGGGATGACAGTGGGACTTCTGTACATTGTCGACCATCCTGCCTTTTAAAGGAAGCAAATAAGTGTTCCTTCAGTAGTCATATAAGGACCAGGTTGATTAGAATTGTTTCAAAGTTCCTAGGCTTTATGCTTCTGCTAATACTTGGTGATGTTTAAAAAATCCTGAGAAAAATGGTGATTTTTCATGCTTAGAATACACTTAACGTAGTGGGTGCATTCGACCCGGTCGATCAAAGGCTTCAGTGGTAATGTGTGACTGTGAAGCGAGTGGCTGAAAAGTGTATTTTACTGAACAAGGCATTCTAATCCAAACTATGCAGTCGTAGTGTTTTCATCTAAGGAGACAACAACCTGATGCTCAGTCACCAACCCTATTTAATTCTGTTATTGATTTATTGGTCGATATTACTCTGATCGACTTGTTACTAGGATAAGGTTTCATCCTAGAGTATGCTGGTGATATTGTTTTGTTGGGCGAACTCCCTAAATAATCTCAGTCTTCTGAACGTCATGAGCCAAAATCTAGGTATATGCTGCATATAATTCATTCCTGTCAAATGCGAGATCATGTTGTAGGACTGGCCTTCACTGGCTCCCAGTTTAAGGATAGGAAGTGAAGTGGTTGGGATGGAGGTCTGCATTATGACTAAAGGACTGACAGCTGACGAAATCTGAGTATGAAAATAAAAGTCTGGTTCAGCATTAGCCAACTCACCTCATTTTTTATATTGATATGTTATTCAGTTGTTCATCTTGAGACTTATACTGTTCAATACTTCTCTTCGTTCTGCTTTTCGATAGGCATGACCACTGGAAAGGTTAAGAACCTTCAGTCAGTTGTTTGCGTTTGTTGGAGGCAGTAACAATCAACAAAGAGGTCAAGCGTAGTGTTAAATACTGAAAGGAAGTCATATGATGTTGTGAAACTTCATTGATTTAGATGGTTAAGACGTGTACTACTCTCGCTGAGCCGTAACCTTTGTCGACAAGTGATGTTAGCCAAAATTTTCCTATGTTGGAGAGGAGCTAATAATAATCAGACAAATGCATGGCACTGATCCTTGAAGTCATCGACTGTTGGTTTGACGCAAGTAAATATAGGCTGCCATATTCTCGGAAGCAGTGGTTGTAGGTCGTTTTTAGGTGGTGCGAATTCAGGTGGTCCTTTCACCTAAAAATACTCATTCTTCATTTAGTTATTCTATTCTGTAGAACCTCATTCATTGTAGTCTCACTATACTTCTTTATTTGCTTAAATATACGCGTTAATGAAGTGGAGCATCTTTAACTAGTGAGATTTTGCACTAAGTCCTAATTCCGCAAGGCATTCAGCAGCAGAGGAACACTGAGGGCCCGGAACTAAGTAGCTGCCTTTCACTTATCCCTGGATTTCAATGTCTCTTCATAACGATGTCAGTTAATGACAACATCAGCTCAGTCTATATGAACTCAAAAGCACAATTTTTCAATTAGTTCAGGTTACTTCTTGTTCAAAGACATTTTGAGCTGCGTTTGAAATGATATTTCAGTAGCAGTTTATTATTATTATCTCTTGAGTTCCGAATGGAACATAAGGCTTCACCAACACATCTCAATTTCATCCTGTTCTCTGCAATCATTCTTAGCTACCCCCAAAATCGCCTATAGACTTCTATCTCCTCGCTCGATCTCCATTTTCATACTCGGACACCTAACTCGTCGTTTCCCGAGCGGCTTTCACCGTGCCGCCTGTACTTGAAGCGATGTTGCCTAGATAAATGAAGGAGGTGACCTGTTTCAAATTTCTCCCGTCGATCGTGATTAACGCTTGTTGTTGTTGTTGGTTGAGTGTCTTTATCCCTTCTATATGCTCACTTGAAGTCCCCTCTTTGCTGCTGCTTCTGCTGACTTGTTAGTTTCCGCCTGTAAGTCTTCCAACTTTTCTGATATTAGACATAAATCATCCATGAAGTCCAAATCTTCTAGAGTCTTCTCGCTGCTCACTCATGGTCTACCTCATGAGCGAGTCCATCATAATCAGAAATGACGTCGGTGGTAGTAGGTAGTCTTGTCTTACTTCGGTTTTCACTTCAAAGGCTTCGCTGAGATTTCTGTTGTGGATCAATTGTCAAGTGGCATCATCATATATCTGTTTATTGAGGTTGATCAAGGTTTGGAGCACTCCCTAGTGTTAAAGCAGTTTTCAAATCACTTCACGGTCAATACTGTTGAAGGCCTTTTCACAGTCGATGTATTTGAGGTAGAGATTTGACGGCCATTCTTTCCTCTGTCCATTAATGGTGCGTAGCGTGACGATTTGGTGAGCATATAATTCGATTTTCCTAAACCTAGCTTGTTCCGGGTGGGATTTCGCATCCAGTGCGTTTAAGTATAGTGATTTGAGGCCTCCCTACCTACAACCTGTTCTGTTTCAGTTGCCAGTGCGTCATAGATTTGACTTTTATCTTTCCTACCACTCTTTACTGTTGAGTCCGGCGCACCGTAAGCTGAACTCAACTTCTCCTGTTGTCCATCTTTGCATTGGTTCATCTTTTATTTCACCATTCCCCTTCTCTTCTATTAGTTCCTAAGTCTCTGTAGAGAGCCATTCCTTGTCATGCGTCACCTTTCTTCCTAAAACAGTTGTACGCATTTCCTTAAACATCAACCTTGGAGAGTTCCAACGTTCTTCCACACAAGTTTCCTCATTGATGCCGCATAATGTCTTTGTTGTAATGATTGCATTGAATGTGTCCTTCTATTCTTCAGTTTCTGAATGTTGAAATTGAAATGATGTCTATCGTCAGCTTTTTTGAATGCTTTCAACTTGACGCTGAAGGATTTTCGCACCAGATAATGGTCCTAGCCTTCATCTACTCCCCTTCTCGATTTTGTGTCTAGCAGGCTGTTTGCACTTTCTTAAGATTGAGATGAAATCTATCTGGTTTTCGATGTGTCCGTCCGGTGAAAACCATGTCCCTCTCCTTGTGTCTGTACACGCTACCTCCAATCACCAAACCATTGAAGGCTCACAAGTCTGCGAAGAGTTCCCCATTCTTACCAAGACTCTCTCAACCTATGATGAGTTCTCTTCCTGTATCGTCTACCCCAGTTTGGCAATCGTATCATCGACTAAGATTTTGATGTTACCATCTGGGAGGTCTTGTTCATTACTATCTGCAGTTTTCTGTATGAGTTTTCCTTTTTTCGTGTTCTGCGCTGTTTATAGAAGAATAGCGTTAGATGATTGTAACCTTCCTTCATTTTGAGTAGAATCTTGCTGCCATTATTCTGAAGGAGATTGATCGCAACTGCATAAAAGATTTGGATGCTGTTGGTGACATCATGATAGCTGCTCCTTCAGTGTGTTCGTGGTTGTCGTTTGTGCAACGGGAGATTATTGACTCTCCAGTTAACAATTTGGAGAGTCCATTTCCATTCCACCTGCTCTCACAGATTTCTAGTACCTCATTGTCACTTCTCATTTCTTTTGCAACCTGAACAGCCTTCCCTGCCTCTAACATTATACAGACAATCCATGCTCATTTTTGATTTCGTCGAAACATTTCCTTTTTTCCGGGTCTTTTACTATCGGCTAGGAAACTAGGCCTGACCGATAGCTGCTACGCTGACGTGGTGGTCGCGCTTGCATATCGCAATGACCCAACAAGTTAGACTGGCTGGAACTATTGTCCCTGTAGGTCCTACCATTTCAGGAAGGTTGTTAGGCTAGTGACTAGATTAAAAGCAGTTACCGGCTTAGTGTTAGAATATTTTTACTTTATGTTGGAGGTCTGTGGGTAAAGTCGTACTACCGGGAAACAGGGATGTAACAACATTGAGGTGTTTCTCTCAGATGACCAGCACGCCAGCTATGCCCTTTCTCCAGAGTGGAGAGAGGGGGTTCTAAAAGGTCGACCCCAACAATTGTACATCTCGACTTACCCTACGGTGGTCCATAACCGACGGTAAGTTTACTAATACGGAACCGATCCCAGAAACCAGTTCATACAGGCCGTGTGTGACCGGCTCCAAGCAGTTCTCCCCTGGGCTCTGCGGTCACGCAACACTAATCCTCTTTCTGTTTCAGGTACCCTTAGAATTCATCAACTTCCACGGTGTGGGCAACCGGGAAGCAACAACCACCCACACACTTCCAAGAGCATACGAAGCCTTCCTGAGCATCATTCTCCTTTACCTACATGAGTCAGGAAACTAGGCGGAATTGAAAAGCAGTTTTAGTCAGCAAGAGATATGCTACAGTTTGTTGTGTAAACTGGAATGAGGCTATGCATCTGGTAGTACCACTGTGTTCTACTTGAGTTCTCATAACTCAGGAAACAGCAAATTGGGTGTAAAAGTACTCAATATAATAACCATTATATCACAAAACAGTTCAGACGTATTGATAATTCTGTGTTATAATCCATATTGCTGAAACATAAATCAGTTTTGTAACTAAATCAGCCATTTAACACCTCGTGTACGAATCTCTGTTGTAGATTGAGAGTATCTTACGTGGCATGAGCGAATCACAGGGTGCTCCTTATGGCTGGTAAACGGAGAAGATCACACAAATCTTCTAAGGTTACAGATTCAGAGTTTGATAGCAAACGGTAAGAAAACAATCCCATGTAATTTTATCTATTTTAGGTATATTAGCAATACTCTATCTCAAAGCAGTTCTGTAAGTACTCTATTTGATTGTTGTGACTGTCTTAATTTGATATAATTTGTGAAACTCTGACTTTTGGCTAGTACTAATAAATACGTACGAGTTTTATTAAGAATACATAGGCTTCATGCTGTGGTATGATTGACTTATTTGTTTAGGCACTCAATCCGTAAATCTCTGGCTTGAAATGTAACGTGTTTTAGTCTAATTATATACATAGTATCACCCACCAACCGTGACGTTACTGTGATTTATGATGTAGTTCTTGATTATAAATCTTTTTTTATCTAGGTACCATCAAATTCCAAATTTCTCTCGACTCGCAAAGTCCTTCTACCTGGATAACCGAGGGGTGTCACGTGGCCCAGTACATATGATGTTCAACCGTGCAGATAACATTACATATGCTTTGACTTCAGTATATACCTTACTGATAAGCAGTCTGTCGCGTTTTGCTTTGTCTTGGATCATATATTAGATACAGATAGTAGCTATGAATACAAATTCAGACTTCTCAATAAGCCTAGCTATGGTTTCAAGGCGTTAATAACCAATAATTTGATAATGTTCGTGATATGGCTCAAAGCCGTTTTCAGTGGCGCAGATGCATTTACTCTTTGTAATCTCCCAGGTCCATTAAGTATTCATGAATCCCTGTGTAATTATTCTTTTTCTAATACATTACCCTTCATTATATTTCCTTTGGATTGTTCCTCTACCTTTGTTCTATGTGGAGTGTGACAACTTGAACCTGCTACACTTCTGTGCAAAGTTCTACACTGAATACTCAACCAGTCACCTTTCAACCAAGTTTACAGAAAATGAGATAAACAATCGATTTCTTTTATGGATAGTAATGTTAATAAACTGCCACGAATTTTATAGATGACTAAGCAAATACTACGTTGCAATGTTATGTTTTAGACCGTTTTTAGTATCTACACTTCTGTGCCATCTAGATTATAATATGATATCCTAATTCATTTGTCCTCATCCAGGATTTTTTGATCACATCTAGTTTTTCTTTATTAACTTTGTTTCACTGTAATAAGTGTTGTATTTGGGTGTGTGAGATAAATGGTGATAAGTATTTACGGTGCAATCTTAATCTCAGTTACGCTAAACGCTACTTCAAACTTGGCTTGTATCGCTGTGTTATTTGACATTAGGAGGATGTGAATGTATGGGCGGTCTCACCAAGCTATGCAAAGAAGAGAATATAGAGTAAAAAGTTTATCAAGCCACTGAAGAAATACGTTGTGGATGTATCTGATACATCTGTTGTGGTTGACTGTCGACAGCAACAGTTTCACACACCATAACCACAAGTCTGTTGCGATCTGACTAAGACTGTGAACTTCCTCTTTATTATTTTCCTGTTACATCAAACGTAACTTAATGTGGTAGGTTACTGCCCAAAGACTTATTACTCGTAAATCCTTCAACCATGTGAATGAAATAGCGTTTAAATTTCAAATGGCCTTTTCACAGCTTGATTAATAGTTTTCTTTCTTAAACTCCATCTAAACTTAATTTCGCGTAGTAATTTCAACGAGTACAGGTTCTGCCATTAAAGGCAATGGTGATCAAATTCTAACGACTTAAATATATCATCCATATTTTGCAACCGTATAGTAGGACAAACAACATCGCTATGATGTACTTTTTAATGTCTGACACGCTACGTAAGCTACTGGAAATCAGTACTTGTAGAAAACCCTTGTTTTCTCACTCCAACCACCTAGTCGTGACACCATTTAAGTGAACCTGAATCCATGTAACGTGTCAGTACGATACGAAGGTTATGCGTCGATAAGTGAATTCATTTTGAGACATCAGCATTGATAGTTCAGATGTGCGTTTAGTATGTCGTGCAAGTGTTCGCCGTTTGCTTGACCTAAACGGTTTGGAAGAAGTAGATATTTATTCGCCACATGAAGTGATGTCAGTGATAAAGGATGGTGTAGGTTACATCTTTTGATCCACCACAACTCTATAGTTGAGGCATGATAAATGATGAAGCTCACTGCCTCGAAACACTTATTTATCGCGTAAAATGAAAACCGATAACCGTTATGCTACCATCTCCTTGTTTTCGCTACTATGGAAGAGATGCAGAATGAAAACACCTACGTGATCATTCTCTTATTGTTTCCCCATATGTGTGAATAAATATCAATAATACTTGAGTCATTCCTTAAACCAACGAACTAGTATAGCCTCCACCTTGATTGTTTTGTACGTCACCAGTTTTTTAACTACTTGCCAGCTTGGTTTTAGGTAGATTCTTGTTTTATTTGTGCGAACTACTGTTACTCTTGCTTGTGTTCCTAGTCATCCGAATAGTAGTTCTTGCGTATATTTCAGCTTAAGTTATTCACACGTATTATGTGGCATGCTTTACTGGTTTTACAGACAGCAATGAGAATCACCCTCCAATTACTTCGATAGGACAATCTCAAAAGCCTTCCATAGCTTACCTCATTGATATGTCCAGTGTCTCAGACACACCCCATCACAAGTCCTATTTATAGGCTCTAAGCATTAACTATTACATACTTGTCTTCCTTTCTATTTGTAGAGTCTGGGTTCTAACCCTAATCGACCTACCAAAGTTTGAGCATCTAGTTAGTATTATCGGTCACTGCTCCCATTGGTGTGATCCACTATTAGGCATAGGAATATGCGCTTGAGTGCCCACTACAATTTCATCAAACAATGAAACTATTTTGTTGTATCCCAGTTTCAGGCAATCCGAAATATAACCAAATGGCGTTACCTATATTAATATAACTTTTCAGGTATGAGCTACATCTAATAATTACAAAAAAGCAAAAAATTCTGTTACTTAAAGTCCTATGCAGAAGTTCCCATACCAGTTGCATCTCTATAACAAAAAACTGCTAGAAATTGATTTGATACATTCCTACTTTTCTACCAAGGTTCTCTATAGTTTGTTTAAATGTTGAAAATACAAGCACATTATATTAGCCTAGGTCTCATTATGTAGTGAGTCTAAATGTCTCTTCTCTTGCTAGGTAGTATCTGTTCTCCCTAAGGGTGTGGCTATTGATCTAATACGGTTATATGCTGAATGTTTAGACTTCATTATTCGCCTTTTTGAGACTCTAACAGGGCTCAAATCAATAATGACACTAGAGATTTGAGAAAGTTATCCATAAAACGGTTGTCTAAAATCTTGTCTGTAGACTCTGGTTCTCAGATAAGTTTAATTTTATTTGGGTATTATTGTGTTATTCACTAGCAGATTTCATTCCGAAATGCATTCCTTACGGACTACATTATAAATATAGCTCTTTAGATAAAATGGTACACAAATGCGGTCTACAGTTCAAGTATCATTCGATGGTTGCATTTTTTACTGTGCAAGTTTTCTTAAAAACTTCTAGAAGGTTGTATTTTTTTAATGTTCCGTCAATTTTTGAATCACTGAAGTTTGACTGATTCATGAAGCTAAGTGTAACTTGTTAAGAATGTTGACTAGTCAGAAGGTTGCAATTAGGAGAATGAAGTTATCAATAAAGTCTTACCCATCTTGACATCTCATTTCTTGAACCTACTTTGAAATCATAGTCGCCAATTTATGCGCGTAAAATTCTTCTAAAGTTACTTTGACTTACTGTTAGCGTCCAAACAACTCAGACATTTCAAATTGTTATTTTCAAAATCAGAGCTACTCAGTCCCGCTTACTTCTGAGCTGTCTGAGGTCAGTACTCCAGCTGCACCAAAAGCGATTGGAACTCAAGGTTCACATCTTCCTACGTCCATTTCATCCGAAATACCTCGAGTCAAGTGTAATTCAGCGCGAAGTAGACCCATTGTAGGGAGACCAAGGAGGGGATCCGACGCTGCTATTCACTGTTCAACTTCACACAGTTCTTCAATCCACGAAGAAATTGCATTTGGTAGACAGATACAGAGCTTGGGAAATACTTCTAAAATTGGATTCAAAACAAGTGATCAGATCCGGCGAAGAGCCAGTAAGAGAAGCTCTCATTGCCAAGAAGACAAACTCCCTGCTGTCTCTCAAGATAAATCAAGAGCCACTAAACGCCAGCGCCTCTCTAACTCAAGAGCTCGGTAAGTCAAAAATACCACTGCGGTTTATTAGTTTATATAATAATTACTCTTATATTGCATAATCCTTATTGCTTAAATGTTTAAATCATATCCCAGTACTGATGCGAATCATTTAAAAAAGTATTATTAGGGTTACTTTAAAGTTGTTTTGATCCTTTAAATTGGCCGGACTGATTGACACATTTCTTATCATGTATTATTCTTACTTAAGATCATTTATTCATCTTTTTAATCGGCTTTTTTCGCTGTCGTCAACTCCCTGTAACATCTTCCCTTCTGATACAAAGAGTGTTTTCTTCATATTTTACCTTATTGAACGGCCTGGCTTTGCAACATTGTGAATGCCGAAATCAGGATATGATTTTGGAATAGTATTCGTGTGTTTTGCCTCTCATCTTGTGTTATGATTAGCTAAATCAGCCTATATATGGAATGTGAAGCTGTCACACATCACATCTAACTAGTATATCACGAGTTCTAATCACGTTTCACTGATCGTCGTATATCGTGTGTATCCCAGTGTAGGGAAATATGTATAGTCGCTAATTCATATTATTTATTAGTATCTGAGATCCGTCCCAGCTAATCCTAGCTACCAAGTAGCAAAGAGTTTAATGTTAACGGAACATTCAGTAAATAATTTACTTGCCTCCAATCCGCAAATGTTTTTTAGCAAACTAGGAAGAAATACCTAAGTTGATATGGTCTGTGATTTTTCCCGGGTTAATTTGATTTTATTTTTTTTTAAACATTTAGACTTTCATAATGCTCTATATTTATTTGCGGGAGTTATTTCAGTGTCTTAAACTATAGAGGTAACCAAAAAGCTGATTAATCTCATAACGTGTATGTCCTTGGTAGAACGTCTTCCTACCTACTTTCCGTTGTCCAATCTAACATTATGTAGTGGGAAGGCAAACTAAAATTTTGGACATGGTGTTTACTTTAGTATCGTCCTTTAAGGCTGTTTATTTGTCTTGCGTATATTTTTATTGTAATCAGGGAAAGAGGAGCTTACCACAGTCATTCATCATATTCAAAATCGTCTGATCGAAAACGGCATTCATTCACTTCACAAACAACTGCTTATATTGCACAAAATTCATCACGTACAACCACGGGTTCATATATGAGCAAAAGGTCGTAAGTTTTTCTCTAGTTTTCACGGCGTACTTATGTTATCACTTTTTCACGTTGAAGTTGCTTTTAGTGATGCATAATATCAGGTTCCGGATTTTGATTCGCCCTTTTTAATCTGAAAATAAGAATAATTGCCTATAAATTTCAGAATTGTTTCAAAAATTCGATGTATGTAGCTTGTTAAATCCATAAAAGTAAAAATTCCCAGCAAATTTTTCTCGAGAATTCTTGAGGACTTTTTATCTATGCACAAAATATTCATTATAATAAAGGTTTTTTGTAATTCCAATGAATGAAAAACAAAACGATATTGTTTTTACTGGCGTTTCGCTATTTCATGCTAATAGCTTTATCAAAGTATTATTAAACCGGAATTTACAAAGTCTCAGCATATGTATAACAAAGAGTTCAGGGGTGAGAAAATAGATTTACGTCAAGTTAAAGAGACATATTGAAAGTCAAAATAACAATGAAGATCACTAAACCAAATAACAAAGGTAATAGTACATCTGTTATGATATCAAAACAAAGTTTACTAACTTGATCATCGTTCTTCAGTATAGGGTCATTTTGCGTTGTTATATTGGCCAATTGGTAAATATAACAAAACCAAGTGTAGATTGTTGGATTCGATCAGTGTGTGATATTATAAAAGTAGTGTGTGTTTACATAGCGAACTTGCTTATCACATTCGTGTTGATTTTGTCACTTCGTTGGGGAGGGGAGGGAGGTGTTGTAACCAGGTCAGATTCTGTTTTAGTCCATCATTCCTATTTGCACAATCTGAATTCCACTTGATATGGAGTGCTTCTGATATTAGACGTTCTTTGTGATTTCTGAAGTTTTTCTGGATTATTTCAATATTGTCAAAATCAATTTTGTGGCCTGATTCTATAGCGTGTAGACTTATGGCTGATGATTTTTTAAGCTTTTGCAGTTCAACTGAATTTCTCGTTGGTCGAAGAGATGCTCTACGGTGTTCATTTCTTCTGATTTTGATTTCTCGAGATGTTTATCATTGTTTTTCATTCATTGGGAAGTACAAGAAAACCTTTATTATAATGAATATCATATACCCAAATTTTTTCAAACTGTTAAAAGTGAACTTGGTTTGGACATATATGCACGAAATAGTTGTGCACTTTTCGCTTTGAGTTTTCTCAATATATTAATCTTTCTACTACACATCTCGGGAGAATTAACTGCCCACCGTTAATTTTTCCTCACTAGTAATGAAGACATTCAGTGGAACGAAGAACTAGTTGTAGGTTTTGTTGTCCTCCAATAAATTAAAACAGTAAAGGAGTGTCTCCATTTACACCTCTGTTTACATAAGTAGTAAAATGTAGGTTTCTTCTAATGTGTTTGCAGGATAGCAAGATGTTATCATTGTGAATGTGGGAAATGTAATCACACCACTAAATATATGAAAATTATTTAGATTGTTTGTTTTTAGGTTAGTTTTGCATATCCGTTGATTGATTATGTTGAACCCAAATTTTCGGTCCCTGTTGACATGTCGGCTCGTAGTATGAACACCTCGACTATATCTAAGAATTAACGTGAAGTTATTTTTGGGTGATAGTGACTAGCAATGGAATCCAGTATGCGCATTTCGTACGGTTTGGGACTTGTCAACTATATTCTTCTGAGGCTGATTTAGTGATTTCTACTTTAGGAAGTATCCCTCAAAGTTATATATATATATATATATATATATATATATATATATATATATATATATATTGGTCCTGTCATATTTTGCATGCGTGTGTTGTTTAGCTGGGGTCAGTTGAAATTATGCGACATGATAAACAGCTGTATCTGATTTCATTGGTTCAAATTGCAAATCGATACATACAAGTAATAATGCTATTGGTTGTGGTAATGTGTGTCTATTGGCGATACTGCCATGTCTGTCCTTGTACGCCACATTCAATCACTCCATTCCTTTGTCATCTTAGCGACGCAGTTGTTCATGTGATATGTACCTTTGTTAGTACTAAAGCTAAATAAACGTTATGAACTTGAGGCTTTGTAGTGCTTTGTTAGTTGATATCAGTACTGAAAGAGATCCACACAACATACAGTGCGTACTTACGTACTTAAATCTATGGGATTTACATTACACGGATTTATAAATGCAGTTCGACACCCGTCGGTCTGTAACAAACGAAATGTACTCAATCATCTGTTATGGTATTGAATTCTGCACAAACCTTCCTAAGGTTGCCAAAGCGGTAAATGGGTTATTATTATATTCATGTTTCATATAATTATTTGTAAGATAAAGGGTTCAATAATATAAGTTAGTTTACTAGTTTTTCAGATGTAAAGCATGTACTATTGTTGAAAAACATCACTAAACATGTTTTTTTGTTTTTTGTCTCAATCTTTGGGTAGTATTTTCGTGTTGCTTAATGTAGATTCCATCAGCATTATTTTGTAGTGACTTGTAAACATCTTTAACTTATCAATACTATTGTGCAAAGGATTCAGGAGAAATTTTAAATTTACTTTGAATGAACTTCTTGTTTACTGTGGTATAACGGCAAAAGTCTTCTGATATTCAAAAATCCAGGTCTCACTTTAAATGGTTTTAGTAAATTAGTCTGCATCTCATGATATTTAATGACTGACGATTTGTTTTGATACTGCAGTAAATGTATTCGTATTATTAACTGTAGACGTCTAAGTTCTGTTTGCTTTACCAATTACGTAGTACAGAAATGTTAATGAGTTGGAAACTAAATCAAAGTTAAGGTAATTAAGTAACGTAGTATAATTGACGGGACTAAGTAAAATTCATCTAAAATTGAAAAAGGTCAAGTCTAGATTAATGTTATAAGAAGTAGAAGCATGTTTCACACTATAACTTCTTATTAGACTTATCTGAACTTGACTTTTTTCAATTTAGCTGTTCTACTTAATCCCATCAGTTATATTCCTCCGTTCACTTCTGCTCAATTCTTGCGTAGTCAACACCATATAAGTTAGTAATGAGATCTCTTTCCGTAAGTACTCTTCAAAGCTGTACACTTATTATTTAGGGATTTATGTGCACAGGTTGACTGACAACAAACGTCAGAAATTATTGTCAGCAAGTAACAAAATAAATTAGTGTACGAAGAGTAACAATGTGTGAAACATAGTGCATAGTCGTACGTAATTGAAATAGTTAACAACTAGTTAGTTGACAGGAAAAAAGATAGCGAAGAATTGAAGATAGGTTACAAAAATAGGAGAAAAATACACAGATTAATACAGCTTATTATGCTACAAGTGAGAACAGAATAAACATTAAAGCCTTGATAATAAAGAGTTTAATGAAACCAATCTGAAAAGTTCAGGTTTCTGCTGCAAAAGGTAGTTAGCGGAATCCCTTTGAACAGTTTGGTTAGGTATTAGATCTGAATTACCCAGTATTGGGCTACAAGCCAAACTTGTTTTTATAGAGGATAATGATACTACTCAGTTGCTCAGTCTGAAGCATGTTGAACAAAACCTGAACCCAGGGTTTATTGATTGAAAGTCGAGTGCTTAAGCCACTGAGCCACATCTCTTTTCGATCTTATAGTATATTTGACTCTGTATGAAGTCTCTCTTTATGCCTCTAGACCAGAAGTAATAATGTGCTCCAGCACTGAGCGGTTGACTGTCCTGTGTCCTTCCGACAACCGTGCTGGTAGGTGTTCATAAGCCCGTCTAGACAATGTTCTACTGGCATTGCCTATATACTTAACTTCACATAGCAAGTGAACTGGTCTTAATGTGATATTCTCTGATTTATTGCATAATAAGCTGTATTAATCTGTGTATTTTTCTCCTATTTTTGTAACCTATCTTCAATTCTTCGCTATCTTTTTTCCTGTCAACTAACTAGTTGTTAACTATTTCAATTACGTACGACTATGCACTATGTTTCACACATTGTTACTCTTCGTACACTAATTTATTTTGTTACTTGCTGACAATAATTTCTGACGTTTGTTGTCAGTCAACCTGTGCACATAAATCCCTAAATAATAAGTGTACAGCTTTGAAGAGTACTTACGGAAAGAGATCTCCTAAGTTTTCTCTAGTTTTCACCTGATTGGTGCTGCTGTATTGCGTAATATGGAGTAGTGTGATATTCACGTAAAACCTATGATATACCAATCTACCAACCCTAAAGATCATCGTGCTATTTTAACTAACACATGATGCTCACGAGCTAATTACATTGATTTGAATATCTTGGCCGTATAGTCAGTATGTGGGGGGTATATGTGCCTTCCCACCAATAAACATATTTCTTCATTGTTGTGCATTTGTTACAATATTCAATATATATAAGACAGCAGAATTAGTAATCAGTGGTCTACAGTGACTATAAAACCACTCTTATTAAAGGGATCAAATAGAATTCCATTTTGGGTAAAATTTATTTTACTCTACCATAGTGCACAAGTTCTATTCTTGTATCAAGAATCAAACAGAACTTTGCACAAATTTTCTAGTCTAAAGATGCTGCACTGAAAAACAACATTTTTAATTGAAATGGACACAAACAGTATAATGTTAAATATCAGTTAATAGTTTCATAGACGGAAAGTTAGCAGATATTAATGGAAAATGAAAATATGCAAAATTTCAACGGTAGTAGAGGATGAATACATTGCTTTATTTTGATAGATTTAAAACCTTTTTAAGTAATTTCTTCGACTATTCCTCGCTGACATTACCAGGATGTCACATAGACCACCTAGGATGAACTGCTGACTAGGTCCAAATTCACTGTTTTCACTTTATATCTTGAGTTAATCGTTGATATAGTAACATGTCTAGGTTTTCCATATTGAGATCTATTTTGGTCTATGAAAAGTGATTAATTTTCTTTTACTGTTCCTCTATCTCATCGGAATCATAAAACTGGGACAAGTAAAAGTCATCATATCTTAGTCACTATCCTTAGGGCGTAACCATAATCGCACTGTATGACTAATCGTATTTCCTTATATATATATATATATATATATATATATATATATATATATATATATATATATTATTGTTGCAATTTGCAATTTAGTGTAAATTTGTGTCTTATTCAATCCTTGGTTTCATGTGATTTTTGTTATGCTAATACACATTTATTACTTCACATTGATATCGTGATGGTTGTATGATTTTATGTGTATGTGTTTTTAGTATGGATTGTGTAAACATTCTTGTGGTAATTTTTGCTACCATTATTTTCTACTAACTTTTAGACGTCGCGATCGTCAGCGATCTGTTACTTCTATGACGACAACAAGTCCCACCACAATCAAAACCACGAACACTGGCGACAATGTGTTCAACGCAAACACCTCAAACTATTCAGCTTGCCAAAGTCTTTCATCCACTCACTGTACAGATGAAAGGAATATGCAACCTCAAGTGTCCTGTGTTCAATTACCTATTGATCCTTGTGCTCCAGGTGTAGTGATATGTAGTGGTGTTAACTTCCCGCAAAATATGGGAACAAAAGGATGCTCTAGTAATGACATACACCAATCTGCCAATCCGTCAAATGTCCCATTTTACATTGCTCAGAAAAATATTTGTGAATCAACAGAAACTCAAGATCACCATTCTCGCCTACTTAATTCACGTCAATATGTTATGCCTGACCTCGCCCACAGTACAGAAAGTCACAAAGCTTCATCCGTTTCAGAATCCAAAACTTTCAGTAACCACTCTAATTCAATCCAGCTACGTAGCTCTAAAGAACTACCGACTAGCCAATCGGAAGGTAATGGCAGCCATAACTACCATATGCCATTTGATATGACAACGAATACACCGTACAACCAAATATCTTTACCATCGGCACAAATCGCATCAGACCAAAAGAATCAAATGGGTTCATCTGGCTGGTCATCTACGGATGCTTTGGGACCTCAAATGGCTTACTCAACAGCATCATTACCCAGCAGTGCAATGATGGCCGCTTCATTGCAGACTTCATCTAATTACCGCAAAAGTGAGTTTAATTATTAACTTGTGATAGAAAGTTAATATATTTTTACTCGACACTACAAATTTAAATTTTATGAAACTGAAATGTGGTTTCCTAAGGTTTAACAAAATTCAGTTTACGTATACTAACAGTGATGCTAACTTACGGCACAAAAGAGTTTAAACTCTGGAAAGTGTTTGTTTTGGTAATGGCGCACTGGTTGATGGTATATAAAAAGTAGTAACTCCATGAATAATTGTATTCACTTTAATGTCAAATTGAGGAAAGCAGTAGTGCGGGAAATCTGGGGATTGACTAAATCGGTATTCACGGGTAGGTGAGACTGTGTTCGTGAGAGCTGCTTAAAAAAACAATACAATCCTATAACTATATATCTTTCGGATACTTTTATATGCGTTCTTTACTGCAAAATATTGTTACAACATTTTGTTCCAAAACAGTGTGTAAATCCGGACTGATTCGTTCCCGTTAAACGCCAGTTTATGCTCCCTTGTTAATACTCTAGTACAGGAAGATTTTAATTCGTCTACATGTAAACACTTCAGTTTTTCATAAACTGTACTTAGTTTTATAACTTGCCTTAATTGAATGCTCTTTATTTCACACATGTGTTTTACAATGGCTCTACTATGTTCATCTTTCTTGAAGTTGATTGTCACCGGCATTATCTATTGATATACATTTTTTGTATTAATTACACATTGTTTATGATTAAAAGTTGAATTAAGAAACAATAAATCTAAGCACTTATTTCAATATAAGTTTAATTTTCTCGTTGTTGTTTTAAAGCACGAAGCGTATTTATTGCAATACTAATTATAGTTGTTGTGACTGTCTTGACAAATAATTTATATTCTCAGTCTTGTTATAAAAACAGCTTCTTACTCTCAGTATAGACATATTAGACAGTTTCCTTGTCATACATAGTACACTATTCAAAACATCATCAAATTATAATTTTCGAAAAGGGAGTCACGAGAATAAAAAAATAAAATTGATATGGTTGTGTGCATTATGTATAACTGAGACAATTTTATCATGGCCAATGTACCTTTTTGTATAAGATAAATTAGATTCTCCATCAAATGGATAATATTTGTATTTACGAGTTGATCACGGATAGATATCAGTTAGAGAACCATTGAAAACCAGGGAGTACTGGACAGCTGCTGTTTCATCCTAGTTTGAGAATCACCGGAAGTACGCACCCACTGGGATTCGAACCCAGGGCCTTCCGGTTACAAGGCAATCTCATATACCATTCAGCCACTGGGACGCGATTCAATGGCTCATGAATTCTAACTTCTACCAATTCGTGATTTACCGCGACCCCAACCATTGTCGTTGGTGGGACATCCATGGTTGGGGTCGCGGTAAATCACGAATTGGTAGAAGTTAGAATTCATGAGCCATTGAATCGCGTCCCAGTGGCTGAATGGTATATGAGATTGCCTTGTAACCGGAAGGCCCTGGGTTCGAATCCCAGTGGGTGTGTACTTCCGATGATTCTCAAACTAGGATGAAACAGCAGCTGTCCAGTACTCCCTGGTTTTCAATGGTTCTCTAACTGATATCTATCCGTGATCAACTCGTAAAAACATAACTAACCCTTAAAAACCAAACTATAGATAATATTTGTATTACAAACGATGTCACCCATCCAATACATTTAATAAATTCAGCTTCTCCAATGTATATCTACCTCTGCATAAACTGTGAATCCTGTCAAAATATAAATATAAAGAATTGTATACGCTGCTTAAATTCTTGTAACCCTATATTCATCATCTTTCATTTTACATAACTGTCAAGGATTTATTTGAGTTTCAGCACAATTAAAACAGAATTTGAATTTTATCGTACACACTGCAAATTAAATTATCTCGTGTATGCTTTTATATATTTTACTTTGAATGTAAACTTTACTACTTTAGAGTTGTACAGATTTAAATAAGTGAAGCTAGGTTTGAATCTGGTACCTGCTGTTTATAACTGAATGTTTGAGTCCATTGGGCGGAAACACAATTCATTATCTTAGATCCAACAGTAGAATTTTATTTTGCTATACGCATAATGGCGGTTGCATGTTCGTTTTGCCTTTGTTGCTTTCTTTTCACGTTGTTTCGCTTACTAAACTATATTTGACTTATGAAAGCTAATTGTTTGTGTAGTAGTGTTTGAAAAAAAAACATTTAGTCTACTATCACTTGAGTGTAAAGAGTTTGATTCATTATTGTTGTCCAAGATCAGATTATTGTGATTTCCAAAAGATAAGGTCCAATTTTACTCGCATCGCATTACGTACTAATTTTGGCCTTTAAATGCGTTTTAAAACGGTGAACTACACTCCTTAACTAGGACAGATTCTTCCTGTACCAGAATATGAATGACACGTATTTTGTGAAGGCTGATTATGCTACTCATTTGTCCAGAGGGGAAATATTCAAGCCCAGAAACCATTGGCTGTAAATGACTGTCTTAGCCACTGAGCCATTTCGTTCTTTTAAAGACCAGATTGGGCTGCTCTTACTGGTTGTTATGCCATCTCTGGAGAATCACCTCACTCTACCCAATATATAAGCTTTGCATTTTTCATATATTTGATGATAATTGTCACAAGATTTCAGTCGATAGTTTTCTTACTTCAGATTTTAAACTATTCGTTTGTTTATAGCAACTATTTATCTTTAGAGTTAGGTTCTTTCTCGTGTTGACTTGTTTCTACTGTAAATGTATTTTCCTGTTTCCAGGAACTTTGGAATCATTTAATTCAGCTCAGGTATTTCATCCTTCAACATCTGGGTCTCCTTCAGTCAGTCATTTTCAAAATGACCAGAAATCTTCCACTCAGTCAAATGTTATCCCTATACTACCAAACGCCTGTTCACCTTTCTTAGTTTCACCCGCTGGATCTGTGTCAACAAATGCCCCAACCGCTATACAACATCTTTTAGATCCAGTTAATGTAGCCCGTTTAATTGCATTAAATCAAAATATGCATTCAAGCACTCAAGGTCAAAACTCTTCAGAAAATCAACATTCTGCATTATCTCCACGAAGTTTAACATCGTCTTTTCACCCTACAGCATCGGTTTCCCCAGGCAAATACTCACGACATTCTGTCCATACTGCCCATTCAGGATCTGCCTCTACTTCAAAGTCTGTTATATATACCCGCAATCATTCCAATACATCAGAATGGTCTAATCTCAGACCAAATGCTTCTAACAGTGGACAACGTAATCCTCATGCGGATGGCATTAATCATCGTATAGCACAGTTACAACAGGCTTCAACAGATAGATCCGTACAGCTCATTCTTTTGCAAGATATAAATCAGGTAATTGATTTATTCACTTAAATTCGTGGTTTATTTCTCACATAATTTAGACTTAATGTTACTTCTACTTTACTCAGTGTGTAAATTTTATTTTAAAAGTACGTTTTTCTGTTATGTACTGAAAGTCGAAGTGAAAACCGGTGTATTTTCGAAATTCTCATCCACTAATGAGCAAACTAAATTAGTACTATATATATATATATATATATATATATATATATATATATATATATATATATATATATATATATATATATATATATAGTGTTGAATCCAGACAGACAGATATATATAGTGTGAGAAATGCATGTTTTCATGGGGACGGTTTTATTCACAACTAGTTGAGATACTTGTGTGGTACTCAATAAAATTTAAAAAATTAAAACTGTGATAGATTTATTTTTCTTCTTAATTTTCTGCACGTGTACATGTTAGCTAAGCGGGAAACAATGTTTTGTTTTTTATCATAACCTTAGTTCATTATGGCCGCTTTATTGTTGTTAACCCTTTTCCAGCAGGTTGTTCTGAAGTAGTCAGAGGTTAGTTACTGATGATTAAACAGCTATCTCATGAGTTTAAGATGAATGTAATGTAAATATTTCGCTTTTTTTATTTGTTTCTTAAGCCAATTGAACGTGTGATCACATGTGCTAAAATTTAGGTATTACTCATTGGTTTAAGCACTCGAATTTCAGTCGATGGGTCCAAGGGTTAAATTCCACCCCACGTCTTCCGGTGGGACTGGATAGTATCATAAGCCATCACACAATAAGTGGCTTGTAGCCTGGTACATTAAAAATTTGCTCCGGTAACTGAGTTCTATTGTGTGCAGCAATAGCCTCTCATTCTATACATAAAGTAGAACTTTGTGCATGCATGCGTAGCGTAGCCGTGTTTTTTTCTCTTTTATTTATTATTTTGTTATTTATTGTTGTATTTCCACCTGACACACTTAGTCTAATTGTACTGAATCAATCTCAAAATCTTAATCGATTTATGTTATGTAGATAGCGCACTTCAGCTAGATAGATAAACTAAATAGCTGACCTAAATTGAGGATACATCCTAATTGCTTTTCATCCCAACGGTTTGATGAAATAAGTCTAAGCGTTTTAGTAAAACTGATTGAAATGTTCTGAGTCCTAAATGGTTTTCATTATTCTTTATTTGCTTTTGATAACTTACGACATTTGTAGTACTGTCACACGTCGCTACCACGATCGCTTTATGTCAGAGTTGTGTGAGGTTCAACTTCTTTGTGATTTTAAACACGATAATTCAGTTATTTTTATGAAGTCGAAATACCTGTCATTTTCCCTCTATAATTCTGTGTAATGATTCAGTTCATTATTGTCTAGGTCTTCCTACTGTTTGATAATAGAAAACAGTTGGATGTTCTGTAATTGGGACGTTATTTTCTTATATCAATATTCAAAATTTTATGTGCAACTAATCCAACAAATTTGTTGGTAGAATTAGAAAGGTCTTAATGCAGACTTCCTGTTATTTTCATCTTAGATCTTGCTGATGGACTTCGAAGAGAATTTAGCCAACTTAAATGTCAACGGTTTGGTTAGTTGCGTTCTAGAAATACTTGAATCACAAGATGAACATTTAGTTGAATTGAAAAATTTAAGTTGCAATGTCTTAACCCATATGATGGATGTTCTACCACGGAGTTCAGATGCTATTGTTCCAGCTTTGCCTATCCTTCTTACAACTATGTCTTCTAGTTTCGTTGGTGACATATTGGAGAGGATTATTAATTTATTGGAGCAAATATCACGTCGCCATGGAAAAGAAGTTCTGAAATCCGGTGGAGTTTCTGTAAGTTGAAATATTTTTCATCTTCTAGTTATCTCTATTTTATTTTATGTCTACTGATTTAGCGTAGTCATTAGTTTCGAATCATCACTCTTATACTGATTTGTTTATATGGCCTATTTCTCCCGGGAACTTAACTCTTAGGTAGTGAGTAACTACTTTCAAGTTTTGGACAAATGAAAGGAATTTTAGTGCATTGAATGGTACATTGTCGTTAATTCATATCATTATAATCCATTTATCTCTATCCGTTTACTGATGTGTGCATATATATATATATATATATATATATATATATATATATATATATATATGGAGTGGAACAGATGGTTTCAGTAACACATCTCCACTTTGTTCTGTACTCTGCCGTCCTCTTCAGCTGGGTCCACGATTGACCAAACTCTCTCATCTCTTCCTCACACGATATCCTCCATGTCACCTTAGGACTACCCACTTATCGCTTCTCATTTGGGTTCCACTTTAGCAATGGTCTGGTGCCTGTTGAGCGATATCATTCGACGGTTTCCTTAATGTATGCCCGATGCGTCTCCACTTCCTACATATTTGTTGAGCGATCGGCTCTTGGTCGGTTTGTTCCCACAGTTTTTTGTTGCTAATTCTTTCTGGCCATTTGATCTTCAGTATGGAGTGGAGCTGGCTGTTAATGAAAGTCTGCAACCTGTTGGAAATCCTTTTCGCGACACGCAGTGCAAGTTTATGACCCGTATAGAAGAACTGACTGACTTGACATTGGTTTTGAAAATGCGAATCTTGTTCCTTATGCTGAGTGCGGAAGATTTCCAAACTGGTTTCAGATTGATGAAGGCGTATCTTCCCCTTTCCGATTCTGACTTTGACATCTTCATCCGTTCCACCTTAGGTTGAAGTGATGCTCCTCAGATAAGTGAAGGAGGCAACCTCTGTTAAATATCTCTCGTTGATGGTGATTGGGCATGGTTGTTGTCGTTGTTGCGGTTCGTTGGTTATCTTCATTACTTCCGTCTACTTTATGTTCACCTAGAGTCCTGTCTTTGGTACACTGCTTCTTCAACCATTTTCTTGGATTTCGCCTGTAAGTCTTCGAGTTTGTGTCACATTAGACATAAATCACCTGCGAAATCCAAATCTTCTAGAGTCTTCTTATCGGTGGTCCAGAGTATTCCTGACTCCTCGCCCCCAACAGTCTGATGTATAATCCAGTCCAGCACAACTAAGAACATCATCGTTGATAATAGGCAGCCTTGTCTTACTCATGTATGCACTCCGAACGCTTCTCTAAGTTTTCCGTTGTGGGTCACTTGATACGTGGGATTGTCATATAGCTGTTGAATGAGGTTGATAAACACTTGAGGTATATCGTAGTGTTGAAGCAGTTTTCAAATTACTTCTCGGTTAACGCTGTTAAAGACCTTTTCGAAGTCGATGAAGTTGAGATAGAGGTTTGACTGCCATTCCATCCTTTGTTCGATGACGATGCGTAGAGTTGCAATTTTATCAGCACATGATTTGCCTTTCCTGAATCCAGCTTGTTCCGGCGAGCTGGCGGAGTTCTGTATCCAGTGCATCCTTTATTCTCTCCAGGATGATGCGACCTAGTATTTTACTTGGCGTGAACAAGAGCATTATTCCACGCCACTTCTTGCACAGGCCTAAGTCGCCCTTCTTTGACAGTTTGACGAGGTACCCGTTCATCCAATCGGTAGGCACCTTTCCTTATTTCCAAACTTTTCGCACTAATGTAGTGAGAACATCTGCCGTAATCTCTGGGGCCGTCTCCAGTGCTTCGGGAGGGATGCAGTCTGGTTATGCTTGCCTTCCTAGCCGGATTTCAGTAGCTTGATCGCATTCAGGATTTCTTCTTTCGTCGGAGGAGTGGATCCACTGGCTTTTCCGTGTGTGCTGTTGGTGGTATTTCTGGGCGAGTTGCCTATGGTGGTCGATTCAAGAGTCCTTTAAAGTGATCATCCTATTTTTTTATTTGTTTCTCCTCCTTGGTGATCAGGTTCCCTTGAGCATCTTTTATTGGTTCCATCATCTGAGTTGATCGTTTCCCGAATAGAAACTTGGTTATCTGATATAGTGTCCTGATGTCTCTTTTGCCTGCAGCCTGTTCTGCTTCAGTTGCCGGCCAGTATGTCGTAGAATTGTATTTTTTCTCTCCTAGGACTCTTCTTTACTTCACTCTATTCAGTACAGTGTACATTGAACTCAGCTTCTCCTTCCGTTGCCCAATCTTTGCACTGAGTCATCTTCTTTTTCACTATCCTCCTCTCCTCGATTAGCTTCCAGGAATCCGTTGACAGCGATATATATATATATATATATATATATATATATATATATATATAACTGTAGTTTGATTTCTAATCTATACAGCTTGTGTTTACTGTCTTTTGTAATCATCTTCCAGTTAACTCATGAAGCAAATGTTCATTTTACAATAGAATTGAATTTTAGTTTCACCTATTGTGTGATTGTACATTGACATATCACAAACTTTATTCAATTAAAAAAAAATTTTTTTCTAAAAATTTCTATTTAGACTGTACTAGGATTTTACGATTTTGTTACATCAGCACAACATCGTACTATCTTAACAATGGTGAACAACTGTTTTATGAATCTTCAACCAGCTGACTATGATTTAATCTCAAACTGTCTTCCTACATTAGCTGAACACTTAAAAGAATCAGAACCTCGTTGTGTTGAACGTGTTTGCAGTTGTTTTGTACGCTTGATAAGTGCATATCGACATGAACCAAATCTGTTGAAATATATTGTCAACAGTTGTAATTTATTAACCAATCTTCAATCATTGGTACGTTACTTTGTTAATTACTTCATTTTTTTATCATGTAGAAGCATGTAGTATGCACAACATAATTGATTTCGAACTATTTCATCATAAATACGTTTACAGTTGACTATTTTGACTTAAAAACTTTATAAAATTGTTTAAGATTAATTTTTATCCTTATTTGTTAACTGCTAATAATGTCTCAAGATGATAACTACAGTTCATTACTCCTTTCATCACTTCCAAAGCGATGTGTTTCACGCTAACCAAATTTTTGATTGCATTCATTAAAGTTGTCAGCTGTTGCAAATCAAGCACTTAACAAAAAAATTCACCGGAATACTCGCGAGACTAATTTACGTAAGAAGCAGTATTAAATTAACAAAGCATTTGTGGTTCGGTCAGATGTTTTTGGTATAGTGTTCTTTGAGCTATATGGCTAAATTGTCTAACCTTCACTGTCCTTCCAAACATCACCGCAGAATTTCAGGGTTTTCCGGGAATAAAATTATCTTCCCTAAGAATACGTTACAGTCAAAAGAGTTAGGCATAGTCAAACCAAAACATGGCAACAACCCATGTGATGTCTTTGACTGTTGATTTAAGTAATGTAGGATGATGTAAACTGGGTGCGTGGCGTCCTGGAGGCTCCTGACGACATGGCTCAAAATAGTTCTCAGTAGCACAACTGTGATGTGATATCTTAGATCCATCAACCTCTCATTATTCTCCATGTATACTTCCATTCATTATAATTCTTTTTCTATACTTTTTATATGCTATGTAGAGTGCCGCAGTTTTGTGCAAGGTCTACGTGTAATTCAAGTGATTCAAATGGAACATACGGCTTCACTCCTGTACTTTGAAATTTTAGTATCAGTGATGTTTCTTTGTACAGGGTGGGGATGCTAGAATCACACTCAACCTTCCACCTTCACCGATCTCACTACCGACTAAGCGAGGTTTAGGAGTGCCTTCACCGGATCAAACTGCACCAAGTGCGAGATTGTCCAGCATCCTGCCACTGTACCACCACCAACGCACCTTTTATACAATAAATAGTGAAATTACAAAATGTCGATTGTATCTTTCACACCGGTATCATTTTTTCCTAGGGCTTAATATATTGACTCACTGCCAACTTTGCGTATATTCCATGTTAATAACTGTGTGTATTTCATTGTAAATGTACCATAGGAGTTACTTGAATCGGACAAGAGCTTCCTAGTTTTCGTTAAGTCATGCAATGATTCAAACTCGGTAACAGTTAGTTTAAAAAGGGCCTTAATTGTGTGAGATCGGGAAAGTTTATTTTAAAACAGTGAAGTCTACTTTATATCATGATTGTCTTCCACTAGAGCTTATTGTTTGCTAAACCAATTTTATCCGATAACTTCCTGAAAGTATTTTTTACCAATCTTATATCGTGGATAAACATTTCCTTTTTCGTGTTCCCACAAATGATCTAGTAAATGAATTTCATTGTGTGAAAATATTCATTGAACTGTTGTATGTTCGCTTAAAGAGAGTCAGTGATTGAAACAAACAGTTGTAAATATTTTTTTTCTATTTCCAGTCTGACCGTAATAAACTAACATAGTTGTGTAACGTTTTTCTTGAATTTTCAATAGTTGGTTTGTAAGGATTAGATTTGCTTTTACGAGTTGATCATGGATTGATATCAGTTAAAGAACTAATGAAAACCAAGGAGTACTGGACAGCTGTTTCATCCTAGTTTTGGAAATCATCGGCAGTGCGCACCCACTCGGGTTCGAACCCCAGTACCTTCTGGCTACACGGCCAGCGACCTCGTATACCATTCAGTCACTTAGACCCGATTTAATGGCCCATGAATTCTAACTTCTACCAATTTGCAATCTAGCGCGACCACCAACCATTGTTATCGGTGGGACATCCATCTTCACACTTGACTGCTGAACCTGTGGGTCCTGGGTTCGAGCCCCAGTGGATGCATACTGCCGATGATTCCCAAACTAGGGTGAAACAGGTGTCCACTGTTCCCTGGTTTTCAATGGTTCTCTAACTGATATCAATCCGTGATCAAATCGTTTTTCTTGAGGTTCAAAATGCTATTCGCCAAACCAACTTCCCCTAAAACATTAGCAGGCTTTAAAGAAATTAATTAGTATGTTTAGGTTTCTCAGTTTTCATGAATAGGTACGAAGTATACTTTGTGTGTAAGTAGTCATTAGATTTGCCTAAAATCTGAAGTTTCTGGTCACCAATACACTTTCACTTAGTTCTCATCAGCGAGCATTAGTCACCCTGATTTGAACTGCTTATTTATTTTAGTATTGAAGAGTTTTTGGTTATCTTCTGTGTGAGTTCTTTTTTCGTACTACATACATCGTACTCATTTTCTAGTCGGTTTTCAACAGGTAGTAGTACAAATCATAATGTAAAACATTTTGTAACTAAATTTTTCATTTTCTTCTTGTTTAATTTGTAGCTCACCTTGACGCCATCGGTTTTGTCTAGTATTCATGAAGTGGTTCAAATATTAGCAACTCTATGCGCAAGCTGTCCTGATTTGGCTGTAGATTTAATAAAGCATAGTAAGTCTACAGATGTCGACAAATACTGCACATGAACATGTGATCATTTTGTAAAATCTTTACTCATTGTTTACCGGATAGGAATTATTGTAATGACTTGTTTCTAACTACTTATCGGGATTTGTCTGCTACGTTTAAGGCATGATCAATAACTTTTGTAAAATATCACTGCGGTCGATTGCGTTCAATATAAAATATTAATTGACTGGAAACCATTGATTTGAGTTTCGTGCTTGTTCCAGTTGATCAGTAGTAAAGCATAGAGATAGCTTCTGGATACCTTCGAGATTTGAATATAATATCCGTCAGTGGTTAGGTTAGCGACTTTACTCCGAGGCTAAACAGAACTCCACTAATCGTCTTCCTTGAAATAGAGCAATATTTAACTTCATCTTTTAGGAAGCACTCCTGTCGAACAATTGGTGTGTAGCAGATTGGTTAAGTTTATTCATATTTTATCAGTGCTTTAGATATGCCGTGGGCTAATGAATTAAAAATAAATATGACCTTTGGTCCATTAATACGGTAAATAAGGCTGTAGCCTGTCTTTTCCCAATATCCAAGAGCTAGTTATTTAGCTAGAGTTAAAAGTATATGAATCGACTTTATGACAAAATTATTACTTAGTAAGTCGATCTGTTTACGCATATTCCATTGTTAAGTTATCTACTACTTTTGAGCTATTTGTCAAGACAAACTAACATTCTATTGCAGTGTGTAAAGCGAGTATTTAATAAAATACAAATTGATGCGATTTTTCTACAATGTGAATATGAGTAGTAATTTTTAAAGTTTGTATTCGCCAAAATCCAGAAACTGAATACATAGCTTTCTCAAAATAATCGTGATGATATTCGTAAAGACTTCTTGAATTTCAAGCCATGTCAACTGACTTTTTTTTAACCTGTGTCATCATCATTTAGCTTCTATTTTTAAATGTAATGCATATAAGAGCTTTATTTGACCAGTAGATTTTTTTTTACTAAAATACCCTGATTTCTTAAACTAATCATAATTAATTTTTTTAAAGGATCGAATTTGTAGCGATTTGATAGGCTCCAATTTTAATACTAAGTGATTTCACTTGAAGAATCACTGAAGACCAGTGAATACTGGATAGTTCTGTCGTCCTCGTTTGAAATTTTTTGTCAGTACTCACCCATAAACCCACTGGATTGAACCTCTGTCCCCTCTCAGATTCTAACCCACGGGATCCATTACTGCACTGAGAGAAGTTAACTGCTGAGGTATCAGGGCTCTCAGTTGGCCTCCTTAAGACTGTAGTCGGTCCTTCAAGATCACAGATACTCCTTACTGACGGGTACCAACAAGCACGAAACCGACGTCCATGGTTTCCTGTCAGTTGCCTTCAACAATCAAAAATCAATTCAGTGTGCACCGTGATGGGGAGCCACTTACGTGATCAATTGACTGAAAGTGTTCAGACTGCATCAAACTAAGGAATAGACTCATGACATTCCTCACTACTCAGTGACCAATAAAAAAAGGAAAATCAGTAGTGTTTTGTGCGTCCACTTTATTTTTTTCCAGTTATTGTATGGGGCACTATGCATATCTTGCGAAATCAGTGTTTAAGCAATATTATAATCCACTTATCTTTAGGAAAGTTTTCGCATTTTGTATGTTTTGTAATTCTCAGATATCGCAGATACCATATACACCCTTTTGTTGGGGGTGAGTCCCGAAATGGAAAACAACTGGGCTAGTTTAACATCATGCTTCAACGGTTTAACACTTACAAACCTAGTTGCGAATCCACCGATTAATACACGACTTCGTACTCGTTCTCATTCTGGTGAACCATTCAAAACTTCATCATCTACACTAATGGGTTCAACGCATTCATCAGTTAATAAACATTATGATGTTGGATCATTATCTTCAATTGGTGTACCTCAGCCTACCAGTCTACCATTTGGTTGGCAATCTTTGATGATTACTAGTTCACCTTTATCAAATGCTGCTTTATCTAATTCCTTAAGTCTGCCAATTAATCAAAGAAGTTCAGATGATGTGCATGCACTAGTTCATTTGATTAGGTAATGTATTTTCAAGAGATTTTTTCAAACTTTTGTTGATAACATAATCAAATAAATGTTTTTGGTTTTATGTAACGAAATTTTTCGAAATAACACGTCACTGTTTGATGTCGGCAATATAAAAGACTACCATTATATGAAACCATTTTATTTTCATAAGTAATTGAATACCAGATGCATCCTGTTTTATTTGCAAAATAATTTTATTTTTCGTTGTCTATGTCTGATCTGTCCATAACCCCATTGTCAAAAGTAGTGCCCGACATAAATATCTTCATCGAGATTTTAATTGTGGAAAGTCGTTGACTAAAATTCAGTCAGTTGTAGATTTTGAATTCCTTTCAACAAAAATTAAGTTGCAAGTTGGTTACCTCACACTTCATGAGGCCTAACAATAATACTCAGCTATCTAGACTTCTAGAGTAGGTGGAACAAGATATGAAGGCATGACCTACTGACCGCAAGTTGAACCCTTAAGTCAATGAGCCATATCTCCAAGGCCAGTTTGTACTATTAGTTCTCACACAATCTACACAGCTCACAATTTATTGCATATATATATATATATATATATATATATATATATATATATATATGCAAAAGGTTGATAAGTTTATTTTTTGATAATAAATATTACTATGGAGTTTGACAGCAACCAGAAATAAAAGAAAAGGTTGAGTAAAACATTGTTTTATACAAACAACAGTCTCACAAAAAATATAACCAATGGGTTGGGCAAGTGGAATATGAGTGCTTATATGTCGACATTAACCTCCTTCTGTAGATAAAGTTCACTCTGTTAGATAAAATTTCTAACAGCTAATGATCTGCTGATTGAATAAACGCAAGTAGATAAAGAATAGCGCCCACTCTCTGCTGGTGAACGAGGTTTAGAAGTGCGTCGATGGGCATTCGAACCAGGGCCATGTGCATGGTTGGTGAGCATTCCATTACTGAACTACAGGTGCATTAACAAAATAATTTTTTTTAAACTCACTATGATTGTACTGTTACAAATATGTCACAAAAGTTTCCTGTCAAATGGTTATGAGTTTTTCAAAGTTGTAAGAAAATTGTTCTATAACTCCTTTCTGTAACATATAACTTGAATTCAGCGATTTTTAAAAATATTCCTATATCGATATTTTTTTTATTTGTATAGTGAACTCCTTCCACCGATTTCTAGTCATACAAAATCCTCCGCCTTATATTCGAATACATCACAAAGATCATCTGATTTAATAGCTTCTGATGTTCATTTCGGATCAGGAATTAACTTGAATTCCATGTTTTCTACAAGTGATTCTGGTCTATGTACTCCAGAACAGTTGACTGGAGGGACAGTATTTTTCCCAGATTCCAGCAGTATTCAGGTTAGTTCTTGTAATAATTTGTCCTGCGTATCTGTTATCATTTGATTTTTACTCTAATCATCATTATTCTTCAATACTCAGCTTTTTTGGAGATGCTATAGAGAGTTTAATAGGACTAGAAAAGAAACCTAGTTTTTTCGGCATCAAAACTACTTCCTATCAGTTAATATCCTATTCATTTTCAGATCATTCGACCTAATGAAAAAATTGCTTTCCCCACAGTAGAGCCCTTGTACATATATAGCCTGTTTTTACTTGGTTTCGTAATTTACAGTTAGTCTTATCTATTTAGGATTTCTTAATATCATTAGTTGCGTGATGTAGTTGATGCAAACATTAGTTATCTATGTTAATTTGAGATGACACTATAATTGTTATTGCCTTTATTATTATTATTATTAGTGCCATAACTATTAGTGCATTGTCATTTTATTACTTAGACAAACATTTTTTTGATATTTTGTATATCCTCACAATGATAAATTTTACTTTATTTCACTCTAGGTTCAGTCTTCAAAGATGAAGAATGCTGGAAGTTCATCATCTGTTTCATCTAATTCATCAAGCACCCTATTACAAGGTTCATTTGATTCTATTAATTTATCACAAACCGACAGTTCTCAATCGCATATAATAGATCCTCGTGCACTTCTCTTATATGACGAGTGCAAAGAACTTCAGAATTATTTGTGTAGTTTAGTTTCCATTAAAGAAGATTCTAAATCTTCTCATAGTACCCAGACTAGAAGACGTTCCGTTTATCAAAAACATGGTGATGACAATAATGGTGGTAAACAGTCTGCTTCTGAAAAAAACAATTCAGTACTTCATCGTTCACGAGGTAGTGCTGACAACCATCTTAGTCCTGAGCGCACAGAGGCTTTGCAAATGGTGCAAACACTATTACCACTACTCTTTGAAGTATTTACTGAAACTACAAAAACACAGACACGCTTATTGTGCTTGGAGGCTATACAACGGTAGGTTGGATTTGTGTTTTTGACAATCTTCACCACTATAATACTCTTTTTATTACTGTACAAATTGCAATAGCATTTCGTTGATATTTTGAAAATGTATTTTTATTTTATTTATTTTATTTTTGATTACAGCTTGATTCCACACTGTATTTTTGGTACAAGTGTGGAATTTTCAGCGTGGATATCGGTAGCCCGAAATTCGCAGGCCGACCATAGATATCAGGTGTGCGTCGGCGTGGGCTCGAACCCCGGACCATGTGCATGGTCGGCGAGAGTCCTAACCACTGTGCCACCGACTAATACCTATTATTATCGTATTACATTGCTGTGTTTTCCCAATCTGGTATTATGCCTATGATGTGTTAGTCATCGAATAAAATTTAGTGTGTCTGTGGTTCGATGACAGAATATTCACCAAACAAGGAAGCTGGCCAGGTTCTGTTCCAGGTAGACGCCTCCTAAACCTCGCATAGCCTTTAGTAAGCCTGGAAAATGAAGATGTGGTGTGAGGCTAGCAACTCCACTGCGTAAAAATAGCAGCACTGACACTAAATCTTCATTGCTTGAAACCGTATGTTCCAGTCAGGACGCAAACGAGTGAAAAAAGATTAGTGTCGACCTCATTTTTTCTACCAATACAGCCGCGGACGAGAAGACAGTCTTCATCTCAATTAACGCTGACTATCTCAATCGCATGCAAAACTGACTGAATATGATTGCAAATACACATCAAGAAAAGTACAGATCAGAAAATGGCAGATAAATTACAGTAGGAGCACCACCTTCATATGAACAAGCAGTGTTATATTATTTGCAACTTAGCGGTTCCATTTGGGAAATATTAGCGAACAGTTTTTATCAGTCCTTTTCCTTTATGACTCCTGGCTGTTGCTTTATCTCACTGTCGCTTGTTCTAAGTAATTACGAGGTATTAAAACGGAGATCGAAGATCAATTTTGCTCGAAGAATGCTATGGTACAATCTTAGCTGGTACTGGTATCTCATCCATTTTTGAACGTAAAAGTTCATGTTTGGTAAACCATCTGTGTTGTTCACATTCTCATTTAGGATTTTACGCATAGTTTCAGCAACCAGAGTGTGTTGTTACTTTTTTCTGGCTGTATTTTGGTAATGCAGAATAGTGTTGTATTCATCCTATGCAACCTAATAAAGCTTCACTACGATTCCCATCATATGGTACTTCCCCTTGATACTGAAAACATCATACTGAACACATAAGCAATTCTATTTGGCTCCACAGGCGGCGAACGTATGAAACTGTGGATGCATTTTTCATGAGGGACATTGTTTTTTTTGTTCCATGGTTGCAGTTCTCTCTTCATTCAAATAATGTACATGGTTGAGTTGGGCTATATGATTCCGATTAAAATATTTGTGTGTATTATAACCTTTTCTATTGATGACAAATCGTATCGCTGTCATAGTTCTCTTGCTGGTTGACAGTGTTTGATGCAGTTCAATATTTTGTCTTTCCTCTCCACAGAATGATATTTTATTCAAGCCCCCTATTATTGGCCAAGGTTACTCATCCACGAGTAATATGCAGTCATATTGCTGGCATGCTTAACAGTCCTGAAACGCGTGTGATCCTAATGGCTTTACAAATTTCTGTAATGTTACTTGATCGAATCCCATACATATTTGCTATACATTTTCGGAAAGAAGGTATTCTTCATAGTGTTGATCAATTGGTGTTACGCCTAACGAATATCGCTTCAACCAATTCACAATGTAAATCAGGTACTGGTGCTGCCATTGTCTCAAAGCATGAGTCACCTATAAGTAAATCCGTGTTAAAAGGATCTGGTGGTGTATCTGGCAGTTCAAGTAGCTCAACACATTTACCAAATGACAAATACGCAAGCGATCGGTCTACAAATCTTCAGTCATCTCGTTATTTTGATAGTAAATCTAAGCGGAGTTCCGTCAGTACTCCTGGATATCATTCAGTGGTGAGGATATTTTTGTTTCTATCAAATCTTATTCAGCTATTTATTTACCAGCATATAAGAGTAAACATTCCACTATGAATTTAACCTTATTAAAACAACACATTCGGTGTATGATTGTCCTTTCTTGGTGTCATCATTATGATGTTACACTTTATATCAAACAAAAATATTTATGAAAAGTGTTGAACACATCTTAGGTATAAAAATCAACTGACCTAGTAGGGATGATGCAATTGGAGTCATTTCATTCCAATACATTCGGAGTGCTGAATAACGGGAGAATAAATAAGTGAACTGTTTTCATTTGCTCTAATCTTTTTTGTTAGCGTTCTACAGCGCACATTTGTGAATTGTTACTAATCATTGGTTTCTAAAAAAATTTAGACTCAAATGGAAGACAGCAGTACACACAACTGTCCTGTTTTACTTGATGTCGCTCAATCGTGCAATCAATCTTCTCAAACGAGTTCCAGCCATCATATGGAAGTACCAATGTCACCGAGTCATCGTGCTTTGTCAGACTCCTCTTTAGTTTTGTTAAGTGAACGGTTAGTTAAATTTTATTATCACTTTGTGTTTATCACAGCTGTACTTCCACGGAGTTTTTGTTAGAAATATCGTTAATAACTAGAAACATTTTAAAATGAATTACACTCATTCAGTAATGTTAAAGTTTATTTAAAATTTCATCTGCATGTTTCTGTGTTATTTTCATCTTCATGATAAGTTTCTGTCAATATTAAGTAGTTAGATCTATGAAACTTATCACCTGAATATTGAACTTTTCTCACTGCCTGCTTTATTTGAAGTCTTATTGTCTTCTGAATTTTGGATAACACCTCCATTTAGTAATGATTTGAAAGGATGGATGCATAAATATTATTATTTTTACTTATTTTATTCCGTCATGTTTCCAGTGGAACATAGCGCTTCGAGCTAGAGGCTTGAAGTTTCGGTAGCAGTGGTGTTTATTTTTTACAGGATGGGGTTGCTAACCTCATGACCAACGTTCCCTCTTTACTAGCATTATTTCTGGCTTAGCGAGTTAAAGGAGTGCGTCGGCCAGGGATCGAACCCTGGACCATGTGCATGTTTGACGAGCGTCCTAACCGCTGTGCCACCGACTCACAGATCCATAATTGATCAAATAGTTGAATACTACTCACACCAACCAGTAGCAATCGCTAACCAGATAGAAGAGATCTGAACACCGGACGGTTATTTCACTCGTTGGAATCCGAGCTGATCAATTTAAACCACCGTAATTCTGAGTGGGAACTTGGGTGGACTATCATCATGCATTCATATATGTCCAAACCAAGTTCACTTTTAACTGTTTGAAAAAATTTGGGTATTGGGTATATGATATTCATTATAAAAAAGGTTTTGTATTTCCCAATGAATGAAAAACAAAACAATATTGTTTTTACTGACGTTTCGCTATTCAATGTTAATAGCGTTATCTAAGTATTATTAAACCGGAATTTACAAAGTCTCAGCATATGTATAACAAAGAGTTCAGGGGTGAGAAAATAGATTTACGTCAAGTTAAAGAGACATATTGAAAGTCAAAATAACAATGAAGATCACTAAACCAAATAACAAAGGTAATAGTACATCTGTTATGATATCAAAACAAAGTTTACTAACTTGATCATCGTTCGTTAGTCTGGGGTCATCTTTCGTTGTCAAGTTGGTCAATTGGTAAAGATAACAAAACCAAGTGTAGATTGTTGGATTTGATCAGTGTGTGATATTATAAAAGTAGTGTGTGTTTACATAGCGAACTTGCTTATCACATTCGTGTTGATTTTGTCACTTCGTTGGGGAGGTGTTGTAACCAGGTCAGATTCTGTTTTAGTCCATCATTCCTATTTGCACAATCTGAATTCCACTTGATATGGAGTGCTTCTGATATTAGACGTTCTTTGTGATTTCTGAAGTTTTTCTGGATTATTTCAATATTGTCAAAATCAATTTTGTGGCCTGATTCTATAGCGTGTAGACCTATGGCTGATGATTTGTCAAGCTTTTGCAGTTCAACTGGATTTCTCGTTGGTCGAAGAGATGCTCTACGGTGTTCATTTCTTCTGATTTTGATTTCTCTCTGATGAGGTTTGTCCGATGTATATCGCATCACATTCCATGCATTTTATTTTATAGATACAATTAGAGAGAATCTTTTGGGATTTGATCTTCTATATGGACAAGGTTGCTTTGCAGTGTGTCTGATGTTTTGAAGAAAACTCTAATGTCGAGCTGATTGAGTACTCTTCTGATATCGTCTGACGTCTCTGCTCATGCGTTCATGTTTGATTTCTTGATGACCATTTATGTTAGGTCATATTTTGTGATCTGAATGATTTTCGCCCCGAAGAATTCTCACCTAGTACTTTTTAACCAACTAATTGCGAATTTCATCTAAAAGAATTATGTAACTTGTTAGGGTACGGTTAAAAATGTTACCTTGAGACTACTTATTTCTGTATTTTAGAATAACAATGCAACTAATTTTATACATCTTTGTCACTTTCTCGTCTAGTTTACCCTTAAAACTTCCAGCCAATATTTTTTTTACTAGCGAAGCAGTCTGTTCCTCTTGTTTGTATAAACTTTTTATATTTCACCAAATGCTTGTTACTTTCCCTCAAAACTTGCACTTGCAGTTAAATAAAGATTATTCTTTTTTCAGAAGTTGCAGTTGTAGCATGCAGTTAAAATATTGTATTTTAAGCTGCTGTTGATTAGTAAAGCGATCAGCTTTTTAGATTTTCTACAGTATACCTCACTGTTATACTTTTTTTTACCACAGCACTGATAGTCATTGCACCCAACTTGAAGACAATCTTGTTTGATTAATTATCAGTAACCCAAAAGCCTAAATTAATTTTTCGCCAGCTAACATCAGTTGTGGAATGTATAACTAGTGTCGATCCGCCTACAGTAAACTTGTCACAGTTCGCTACATGAAATAATATTAGGCTATTGAGTTGTATTCGATTTTAAACCCAGATAATAATAACTAATCTTATGTATCCTCAACTTCGGTTTAAAAATGTTTTATGAAATTCAGTTGAGATCGATGTATGTGTTTCATTTTTTTCCATTTCAGAGATCCTTTACTGAAATCCATCTGTTTAGTTTGTGAAAGCCTACAAACACGTATTCAGGATGTACTGAAGTCTTTGGACACCCCGGCTAATATTCACAAAGTTGAACTAAATACTTTTGATAATCATGAAGAAAATACGACTAACATTTCATCATCTTGTGATCTGATTGACTTAATGCCTATCTTAGTAAGTATTGCTCATCAATTGAACTCTGATGCACCAAATCTATGGATTCGTGGCTTAGATCAGTTGATAAATTTATTCAATCCTGGGAAAAAATCACTGGTATCTGTTGAACCACCATCTCCATTTGAACTACAAGAAAGTGGTGTGACAAAGGCACTATTGAATTTTCTTACATCAACTGATAATCGCGAAATTCGTTTATGGATAATGTTTCGAGTAAGTCACTGGCTTTATACTCTTTTACCTTAGTGCTTCCTATTTCGTCCATAATATTTTGAGATCAAGAAGTGCGTAATGCTGTTATAATTAATAGACATATTTCAACAAGCTGTTCACCTTTTGGGATTATTGTTTTGTCTAGTAAGTTGAATGTTGATGAGGCTTTTGGGGAGGGGGGGGGTAGCACTGTATCACTTGTTGCGGTATTGTGATAGGTAATGATTCAAGCTGAAGTGAACACCTCAAGTCACGGCAGTATTCTCTTTGCTAAACTCCAAACTATAGCCTCGGTATCCTACTACCTTCTAGAACAATCACGGTTTCACGGCAGTTGTCACAGATTATGCCAGTGGTGTACAACTGTTCGTTCGGTATCATGTCAGCTGTCCAGCTAGGCTGCCTATCAAATCTAATTATGCTGAATTAGAGAGAAAGGCTACTGGTTATTAATTTTTGATTAGATTATGTGAGATAGGTATGTGCGTCGGTGGTTCAGCGGTAGGCTGCTTGCGAAACATACACCTGACCTGGGGTTCAATCCGCCGCCGACGGAATACAATCCCCCCTCTTGACCAGTAGTAATCCCGGTAAAGACGGGAGTTTCTATGTAAATCTATCATCCGTATAAGAGGATAACACTGCTGCTACTGGAACCCTAAAGCTTCAAGCTTTATGGTCCATTAAGAACTCAAAGGAATAGAATACACATAATCTATAATGTGAGATAGCTTTCCACTTGCATACTAATACTTCATAATTAAACTATTTATTTTTCGGTTGATAAATTTTTTAACGTATGTGCAACTGAAATATTTTCTACTTTGATTAGTATTACTATCATTTTTTTGAAAAATACAAGTTGAATAATTGCTTTTATTTGACGGTAAGAATTTTGCATAAGTCGACTTCTTTTGAAAAAAAAATCTGACTTGTAACGCCAAAGTATTCACTACATCATATGCAATTCAATAGTATTAGACATATTTTAGCAAAAGGTAAAGTGAATTTTCCATCACACCTTTAGGAGTCTTTCCAATAATTTTATTCGCGTAATTACAATATGTGCATTGATTATAACAAAATGATAGAGAATTTGTTGTTATATGAATTATAAGTAGATAATTAATATTCTTCATTATAATTGATAGTTTGGCGTTAATTATGCATAACAGATTGTTCGTTGGTAAGACTGTCAACTAGAATGATTCACAAGTACATTCTGCTCATGGTTCAATTGTCAACTGATGATTAACAGTGAATCGAAAAGTCATTAAGTGTGCATACACTTTTCTTGTGAACGATTAAACTAGACAGGTTATAAGAATGCTAAATCTAATAATTCATATAAGACTAAATAAATAACTGAATTTTACAAAAATTCAGGCAAGTACCTCCATTCCTACAATCGAAATTCGATACTTTTAAATATTTTCATGCTTTTTAGGCTCAGTTCGAGAATGTGCTGACAAACGTTATCAAAACTCGTGTTTAACTCAACAACTAACCTGCTTTTCTTCATTCCTTTGCGTCTCAAGTGGGATCCAGGGCTTCAAACTTGAGCTTTGAAGTTTTATTGGCGGTGGTGATATTTTTTTACGGGGTGAAGTTTCTGGCTCCACACCTCCTCTCTTCCCTGGCTGACTGCCGGTTAAGCGACGTTTACGATTGAATCTGCCAGAAATTGAATTCAGGATCTTTACTACTGGAATAATGACGTGTGAATCGATAGCTTACCTAGAAAACGGACTAATAAGTTGTCTCGTAGATGGATAGACATAACGAACGGATTATCCTTCCTGACGCTTACGCCATTGGCCCATGTACACATTCTTTATATATATATATATATATATATATATATATAATTGTCTCCTTTCGCAAAGATACTCTTCCTACCACCTCTTTGTGTGTTCTCGCTTAAGCAGTGGGCTGGGGAAAATAGGTAGCTGTTGTACATGTCGTTGGCGTAGACAACCGACTTAGTAATCACCGCATGTCATCAGGTTGGCGTCCCTATTCAACGTTTTTTTTTCAAAATGGAAAAAATAATTAAAACTAAACAGTAGACCTATGTTCATTGAATCTCTTCCAACTGTACAGTTGATTGTGTGAGGTTTAGGAGTGCGTGTTTCGCGACCACTTGCTCGGTGGATGAGCCTTTTACTACTGAGGCAACCTATAGAAAGTTGCAATCCAGAAATTAATTAAAATCCTGAAAACCCAATCTCATAGTTTATTATTACACCATTAACTGTTATCATAATTGTTCCACTGTTCAACCAATGCACGCTACCGTTCATTACTGTTTCTTTAGTGTTTATTCCTGTTGCACATGCTGTATGAAGTTTTTCTCCAAATAATAGTATACTTGCACACTAATTGTAGGCTTCTCATTTCATGCCTAAATTTAGTATTGATATAAAAATGGATGCGTATATCTTCATGTATATAATACACAAGTGTCAAGGCTAAATCTGAGATGGACAAATTTTGGTTTCTTTATGCATCTTCTGAATACTAAGCGTTTATAAAATGATGTGAAAGTGGCTGGATGTCCTGAACTTACTACCTTGCATTTGTTGTTTGATGTTCAGTTCCTTTTTTTGAAAAGATTTGAGTACATATTTCTGCTAATTCTACCAAAATACAGTAGTTTTATACACTCATTTGACATAATGACATCCATGTTATTGTGACTCGGGATATGTAATGAAAAACTGATGCATTTATGTATGTTTCAGGATTTCATCATGAGCTGACATTAGTTAGAGAAAACCATTGGAAAACCTGGGAGTATTCGACAGCTATTTCGTCCTAGTTTGGGACTCTTCAGCAGTACGCACCCACCGGGATTCAGCTCATGATGAAATCCTGAAACCAGTCAAATCCCTACAAACCAACATTTATGTATGTATTCATTTTTCATATCCGATAGTTTATGAACTCAAACACCAATTCACTTAGAGTTGTAGGTAGTCAGATACTAGCACTATCCCATATTGTGTAATTAATGTAGCCTCAACCCTCAAAAACAAACGGCTATGTGGTTGGTAACCGTATTTTTTCATATCACACCTTTGTGTGTATGTTTTACTTTAGTTTTTATAGTGCCATATTCATTAATTGCCACATAATTACTCTGTTACACTAATCTAAACTCAATTCGTGGTCATAAACTTTTAGGATTCTCTGCTAATGCTCCTCTTTATAAATTCCCCTCTCTTATGCTTAGATGTTCCTTGGCTGTAGAGCTACTTCATCCATTCGATTCAGTCCAACAATTAATTGGGAGAGTATAAATGGTCGCAAATGGAATGGATACAAAAATTGGTTCACTTTATTGTCAATTGTACCAGATTTATTCTCATCTGATTGTAATAAATTGAGTCAGCTAAATATGATTGATTGCCATTTGAATTCAGAATTGAAGCATGAAAATGACAATCAATTTCGTGGAGTTAGAGCGTTTGGAGCATTAATCGAATGTCTTCTAGCTTATTTACACAGGCATGAACATTTCCAGGTTCATTCAATTCCATCTATGTTACCTCCAAATGACAAATGGCTATCATTAATTGGGAAAAATATGTCTAAGAATTTGGGCAATTCTGATGTTCGAACTGTCTCTGGAGTTCACTATGACCATACTGTTACATCACCCTCATCTTCAGACACTACCCATAAGTCAACAAATCAGCATAATGTTCAAAAAGGTGTTGCAGTTAGTCATTCTAGTCGACCGTCCGGCAAGCCGACTAGTTCACGAATATCGGGAATGAGAACGTCAACGAAACCGCCACTTTCATCACCAATAAATTACAGTAATAAATCTGATCCTTTAAATTCGAATTGGTATACAACGAATATTGATCCAAAATTTGCTGTTCATCATTCCTCCAACCCATCTGCTCGAACTGTCCAGCTAACCTCTTTTACTCCAGGAATACTGCGTATTGAACTTCATCGTATATCTGATACAGAAAAGCAAACGCAAGAGGATGGTCCACCATTAAGTCATTCTAGCAGTTCATCAATTTTGGGATCCAATACTAAAGGTGGTCGTAAATCTTCCATGTCGTCTTCATCATCTGGTCACTCAGCGAACACTTCATTTTCCTTAAACACTGAACCGTGTTCTTCCTTACCGAATTTCTTACCACTTCGTATAACTGCTCTGGCTACAATTCAGGTGAGTTTTTGCTACATTCTCATATTAATTTCATTGGAAATATCACCCAATGATCCAGTATTATTTACTGGATAATGTTTTGAACAAAACAAAATTCCTTCATAAACATCACTTGATATACACATATGCTAGTTTTAACTATAGTTCTTCTTTAACGGTTCACTTATTTTGTTTGTGTTCTGTGCAGTATCTGAGTGGGCTAGGCGAAAATTTTAATTCATATTCTGAACTTACGAATCCATTCTCTAGATTTACTTGCTCTATATTTCCGTTTTTTCCTTTATTTTTTGACAGAATGTTGAACGGCTGCTTTTACAGCGTAACTATGTAAATAGTGTGCTTCAAGAAAGTGGTTTCTCGCATCACTCTGATCATAATTTTGCAGGTATCCAGGATGCTTTTATTGATCACCTTCCGGATGATGATATATATGGTTCACCTCAATCTCATCTTATTGATGAAGTGACAGACGATGATGACGAAGAAGATATGGATTCTCATACCCACTCATTGTTAAGAGAATTGGGATCCATTGAAGACACTCTCAAATACCGACCAGATATCCAGCATTCTGATAAACATTTACGAGCTTCTGCTATCATAGGTGCAAGTCATAGAAAATCGTTAACACCTGAACGTCGAAATAAAAACCAGTTTAGCCAAATTCCCAAACCATCTGTTTCACTTCCCAACCGAAATACTTCTGCTTCGTGTTCTTCAGCTCAAATACAGTCAGCTGTCACTAAATGTTCACGACATACAAAATCAGAAATGTACTCCAAACAGCTATCCCCATCATCGCATGTCCCATCTGGTAATGTGATCCATGATCTACCAGCTACAATTCCTAATGTCCAGCTATTATCTGAAACTGGCTCTGCACAGAATTCATCAAAAGTGTCCATTTCTACTTCCAGCTCACTTCAAAGGGGATTGCGTAGCCTACTACAACGCAGTTCAGAGATTTTACCACTTATGACTCGTAGTGGGATTGAAAAAGCTAATCCCTCTAGCTTTCATTCAATTGATAGTTCAAATACTTCTGTCACCAAGAAAGTTGATTCTCGTGGTCTTCGAAGACGTTCAACTGCTAATGTTCCCATTTCTGATGCATTTTGCTCAACGTCTGTTAGCCCTTCGACTTCATCGACTACGCCTGAACGTGTTATTACTCCATTTTCTCATTTCTTGCGTTCGGTTACAAACCCATTAGTGGTAGATGATAATCATACTATTGAAACATCTGGGGGTCCTAGTAGACGCAAATCAAAACAAACAGTTGTTCCAAAAGAGGCTTATGTGAGTGTTACTACTACAGATACTGAAACTTCCGGCTGTATTTCTAAGCCTGTTTGTCCTATTTCTCCTACTCAGCTGCCAAGTAGATATCGGCGGCTAAAAAGTGGGTCACTTTTAACAGCTCTTGGTGTGTTAGCTAGTAGTTCGGTAACAACTAATACAACATCAAGTCGTAAAGGTCCAGTTCGTCGTGGTCGGAGTGGTGGTGTTTACAGTTATCATGTACCACAAACTCGTTCCCTGAAAAATACTGCATCACCTTCGTTATCATCTACATCTAACACTTCTTCGTTATTGGGAAGTGAAGATAGCTTCATTTATTATGGTAAATTGAAACCTATAATTACTTTTTATGTTGGCGGTCATCGTCTCCCACCAGATATTCCGTTATATGAAGCGATCCGTAAATTTAGTCCCGAGATCATATCTTATTCATCAGCTATTAACTCAATCGTGAGTAATTGTAGTTCTCAGAATGATACGCTCAATATTTCTGAACAACTGTCTCTTACCCACTCTGAAAAAGAAGCCTTGGTAAGTTTTATTTTCAATCCTCTCTGTTACTTTCCATTGCAATTTGTTTCCATTTGCTAATCCTTGTGTTAAAAGTAATGCAGTTGAATCAATTAAGTTTAGTTGTAATTGTGTTTCTTGTTGATCCATGTCAACTGCGTAAACGGTAGTTACTACCCGGTTACTTTGAAAGTTTTATATCTACTCTGTATGGCCAAATCATATTTTTAAATTGAACTGATTATTTTTGCTTGCTTCATGTATGTTTTCTCTTTGCATTAAGTATTTTGCTGTTATTTTTAGATCGGTCATCTGATATGGAGCCTCACCCATACTGTTCAATATAAAGTTGCATATCGATCTCTAATACATGATACTGCTGGTAGTCATTCACGTAAACACAATAACACTTCTGTTCCAATGATTTCTGGCTGTTCTTTGTCCCCGTCTTCAGCTTCGTCGTCACCTAAAGGTATCAGTGATAATGGACTCATTAATATAGCGCCATCATTTCCTACTACACTCAGCTTGAGTGCTGCAATAACATGTTTTAAACATAGACGTCCGAATGAAAGTGATGCTGAACATGTAGATAATACAGAAAAATGTCCCGTTACCAGTAGCAATCATCAAGTTGCTGATGCATCTACATCAGTCCAAAAACAGGTCACTTCTTATGGTCAAATATGTGATGTGGCTCAACATCCTTTATTTTCTTATCTTGTTAGTGATTTACCTGTAGGTTTCTTGACCGACATTCGATGTGATTGCAACGCTGCTGATTCACAGTCCACTTGCTCAATGAATACAGATACAACAAATTTGAAAGATGTATCAGATCACTTATCGACCACTCTTGCATTGTTGCGTGTACTTAACAACATCAATCGGTTGTGGTATACAGTTCACAATGCTTTGGATCCTTTCCCTATATATTCACTAGTGAGTTATATTAGTATTTTTGTGCACCTGTATTTTCTTCATTTCTCATTTGAAATTTTGCTCACAAGGATATCAGTTCATTTTGTGACACTTCACAGAATCCTACATAAAAGGAAAGATCAGCAATACATTAGTACTGGAAACGACACATGAAAGGTTGGGTCGGTAAAGATGTTCTGAATCTCAAGCACTGAAGGAATCCTTCCGATTAGAATGTATGAGACAGATTATAGTTACGTGTCAAGATGGTTTACCAAAACATTTTTTTTGTCCTTCATTACTACGCTTCCTTAAATTATTAAAGTGTGGTGAAGTTTTGTGCCACTAAAGGTGTATTGGTGCGTATAAACAAAATTATTTTTTAACCCATGGAAAATTTCCATTGTAACATATAGAAAATCAAAACAAGTGATTCAGCAAAGAGATTCTTTTCAACGAATTTATCATCAAGCTGTACAATCGTATATAGATAGTTTTTAAGAAGTTATATATATATATATATATATATATATATATATATATATATATATATATCTGTTGAGGGAATCGGATCATATGTGTGAATGCATAAAATAATAATAATAATAGTACTATGAAATGCAATTAAAACTCAAATTTGAGTGTTGGTTTGTAGGGATTTGGTTGGTTTCAGGATTTCATCAGCTCATGATGAAATCCTGAAACCAACCAAATCCCTACAAACCAACACTCAAATACCAATGAGATGCTCACTGGCGACTGGCCCTATTCAGGTAGGTAGTTACCTGGGTTCCAGTGGGAAGTCATGACCAGTAGGGTGCAGAGGGTCGGGTGTGAGGACAAATACTCGCCGAAGACATTGGCTAGCGGTCGCGCTATGTCGTGAATTGGCAGAATTTAGAATTCAAGGACCATTGGATCGAGTCCAAGTGGCTTAATGGTATACGAGCTAGCTCGCCTTGTAACCAGAAGGTCCTGTGTTTGAAGCGCGGTGTGTGCGTACTGCTGAAGAGTCCCAAACTAGGACGAAACGGCTGTCCAGTACTCCCAGATTTTCCAATGGTTCTCTAACTAATGTCAGCTCATGATGAAATCCTAAAACTAAAATATTTGTGATGATAATCATAGGTAAATGTCAAGCGGCGAAACAAATAATGTCATGTATATATTAATTCATAGGATGGATAGAACTTGGAAAGCGTGTGCAATTATGGGATTAGTGGACAAATCGAATAAAATAAAAACGTTACGTAATATTGTGTGAAATTTGATAGCATAGAATTCAACGTTGTAAAAAAGAATTGATTTAGAATGACAAGTGAAATAACACCGTGGACAGTTCAAAGTGAGAATAGTAATATTGACGATTGACGTAATAAAGGAAGAGTATACAAATGGAATAGACAAAATGAAAAATTGGTAGAGCCGAAATATGATTAAGGATTACCATACTTTAGCGTAAAGGGGTTATGACCATGAAAGTTGGAGGGGTTGAACCAACTTTTTCTGTACACAGAGCTCTAGCTTTTCTGTTTCGATAGCCAAAGCTTCAGTAATACAGATGAGTCGGGTTCGTAGTGATTTCGCTAAATTACTTTTCGCCTTATAGATAACTTTAAAGACGGAGGCTGTTGAGATACGGTGATCATTATCAACAATATGTTCAATGATCGCGCTTCTTATTGCTCCACTTCCACCTTTTCGTAGCCATGCAGGATAGTGTTCTTACACTCTCTTGAACGAAACTTGAGTCGGACGATCGATATACCTAGCTCCGCATGAGCAGGTGAATTGATAAGCAGACATAGAGTTGGTTAACAGCGGGATCTCAGAGATGCAGCAGGGAATGTTCTTTTCAGGGACTGTGATACTCTTCTTTTCATGATATCGGAAGCTAAGTCACCTTTGGATTCCAAGCTCATGTACAGTATTTTCCTGGGTGTGAGTGATACGTCACTTTTTATAGGATTTGAATGTATATTCTTGTCCATAAAACGCGGTGGAAACCCATTTTCCATTAGGATTTTACTCAAAAGATATAACTCATCCTCCACAGTATCAGGGTTACATATTCACCGAGTGCGAATGGCAAGTGACCGGACCAGGTTTCGTTTTCGACCAGTGGGTACGCAACTGTAGGAATTTGTCAGCTGACCATTCCACAACAGCTTTCGGTATATCGATCTCTTCAGAGTTCCATCGGTCCTCCTTGATAAGTTCACATCGAGGAAATGAAATCTAGACTCGTTCTCCATTTCGAGTATGAGTTTTATCGCAGGATGCCAGGCATTAAATACATTTAATATATTATTCAAATTACAATCACTATTACAAATGATAAAGGTGTTATCTACATACCTTTTATGCATTTGAAAGCTTTGGATTGTTAGCTTCAACTGACGATTGTACAGTCTAATGATAAATTCGTTGAAACCGTCTTTTCGCTGAATCACTTGTTTTGATTTTCTAAATAAAATTATATCACAAAGTTACTATATAAACCAAGCGAAGAAACTTTGCTTAGAATTAATTTCTTGTCATTGTATTACTCAAACGTTCTACTGCACAATTAATGTTAAATGTATCAGAGATGGGACTTACTTTCTTTCGCAATTGAGTCCCGCTGCATGTACATCAGCCCACCTCTATACAATAAGTCTGGCCCACTGCCTGTCACGTGGAAAATCTATTCTGGTTAACTGAGTGTTTAGGAGTCTGGTTGACTTTTAGAAATAGCAACAGAAAAATTCTCAATCTCTTAGGGACTGACTGACTGACAAATTTCAACTTTGCGCAGAAGCGCAGTAGTTCGAGTTACCACATTCCCTGTAGCACACAAAGGAAGGCGGAAGAAAGGAAATTGAAAGTCCAAAGAAAAATAATATAAGCAGAAATGTAAGAGAGAAAGAATAGTAACATGGAAAAACAATAGGGTTTAACGGATATGGCAGGTCTTCTAAGAGACTGCAATTCATAGTTTATAGTGGTTATTTCGACAGTTATTCTGTGAGGAATTTCAGCTAATAATTTCAACCAATCTCAATTTGATGACATATATAACCAGCGTCATTAAGCGATAGCACAAAAATTTATGACAGCTCCTAATTTGTGTATCTCGTGAATCACTGCAAAATGTTTAATAATCTTGATTACATGAATAAGTAACAAAAGACAGATTTTCTTACGGTAAAAAGTTATGCAGTACTTTACAGTGAATTTTTAATTTATTGAGTTATTTCATTTGATGCCTGTATTCTTTCATACGATGACTGTATTTGTTAAGAGACAATCTAAAGTGATCAACGTCTCTGATCTACAGTATGCCATCAGTATTTGAGCTTGATTTATAGTCTGAAAGATGATTCTAATTTGATTTCACGTATCAGCATAAGTCTCATTTCAAATTATCAGTTTCATTTAATAGTCGAATTTGGAGTTATTCTACCACATACTATGCCAATACAGTTTTGCTATATTTGTCAACGTGAAATGCTACTCAGCAATGTCAAATCCTGTGTTGATTCTGATTTCATAGATGTGTGTGTTGAGTATTTGTCCTGGTGATGCCAGTCCAGGGTTGTATGACCTAAGTGTCAGCTTTTGTGGATATGTAGTACTAATTCTTAGCCAACATGCTTTTTCAGTATTTTAGAGTCTGTCCGTAGTTTGAAATGTTGTTAAATTTACGCTTTACTTTTAAGTTTTATATTTTGTGTTACTCAATTAATCTTTCAATGGTATTGCTTCTACACAACAATACATATTTGTCCTATCTGTTTTCTAATAATTTGTTGAACTCAGTATTGTCTCATTGTCATCATTCCCTAATTTCATTCAGCATTCATTTCAAAGTCAAAAGCTTGCTGTCAAGGCGAAGCGACAATTACAGGACGTTTTCAGTGTACTAGCCAACAATTTACCTTCTTGGCTAATTCAGTTGATATCTGTTTGTCCATTCTTGTTTCCATTCGACATTCGAAGAACATTTTTCTACGCTTATAATTTCGATCGTAATCGAGCACTATTAAGGTTTCAGGTAAGTCACTTGTCATTAATTTCGTTCGGAATTATTTATAATACACCTGTTATATAACATTGTCTAGACTGTTTTTTTGTGTTCTGACTATGCGTTCTAGTTTAAATCTGTAAGATTTCACAAATAAGCTAACATGCTTATTTATACATTACCGTTTAGGCTGAATTTTTACCAGAGGTTAATGTGATCTATGTTCGAGTGATTGAAACAAAATTCCATAAATACAATTTTATGGCGACACAAATTTTCATGAGATATGTTTGAACTGACTTCCGAATTTCGATTCATCATATAACTTTATTTTTATGTTGTTTTCATGAGACTTCATTACAATTTGTAATATATTGTGACTTCACCTTTTGCCACAGTGTAATATTGTCATGTGTCTATGTAGTAAATTCAGATTTCGTCTGAATCTCAATAATATCAGTCAGTATTAACATATTGGTGAAATCATAAGGAATAAATATTTTCGCTTCGTGATCATTACAACTAAGCAGTGATTTATGCATCAAACCTTCAAGTATTCACTCCACTCAAGGCTGTTTTGGATTTTGCTGGCACTTGAAACGTGACTCTTAATCTGTTTGCGGGATAACAGTATAACTTCTTGTTTACCAGTAAAACTTTGAGTGGTAAGGCTCAAATTATGAGGAATACTATTTCACCAGATAATAATGATGCTCTACTACTGAATTCTAGATTTAAACGTAGGTATGTTACTTTTTCATTAACGGAAACTTGATGAATGCAGCTATTCAGCCCTCATGGTCAAAAAGATGACTTTTTTTACTCTTTTTTCTATAGGATTTAGCGAGTTCATATACATCTGACAATGATCAAAGTCGTGAGCATATAGGAGCAAGAGGTTCCACAGCATTATTCTCTCATGGCAACCAGCACAATTCCGTTGCATTTATTTCGAACCTTTTTGGAGGGGCTTCGGGGTTTGCCAATTCTAGTGCTTCATCTAATCCAGCCTCTCTTACAACTCCATTAGATGCATCGTCTCAGACCTTATTTGGCACACAACTGCTTGACTTAACTTCTGGAGCATCTTCTTCATCTCAGGAACAAAATGGCCCGGATAGCTGTAGGAACCATCTACGAACACGAGGAAGATATCATTTACGCCTGGCTTTATCACCAAACTTCCGTCGACGTAAAGTTACAGTTAATCGTGATGAAAAACGTTTGTTGAAGCAAGCCGAAGTGACGTTAAATGAAATGGGTGATTCGCGTGCGGTTTTAGAAATCGCTTTTGAAGGCGAAGTAGGATTTGGTCTTGGTCCAACATTAGAATTTTATACATTGATAAGTCGATTGTTGATGAAATCGAGTCTTAGTCTTTGGCATGGCTGTGAAACCACTTCAGACGGATATTTAATTGCTCCAGCTCCTGGACTGTATCCTCGTCCATTCTCTAGACAGACAAAGTCATCTGTTATTCGAGAGGTAATTTTTTTTCAATTTTTTTGTTCCGTTCACTCGTATTGCATATAATGATCTCCTATATTGTTTCTATCCTATTTTTAAAATATCACATAAACTGGTGAAAAGCTTTTCCCCTGAAATTTCTGCCTATTTATCTGTGACATCTGAGTATAAAAATTAAAACTGCAGCTCGTCGTGCATGAGTTCAAGCTTAGTCTTGGTTGTTAAAATGTGTGGCTTCATTTATTTTCAACATTCTTCAGGTCCTTTATTACAAAGATTACCGCACATTGTGAGAAGCAGTAACTCTAACTTCAACACATCACAGATATTTTCGTTTCTAATGTTAGGATCCCTTACTGACTGATTTAACTCATTTTTACCTAATAAATGCATTATTTTTTACTATATGATTTCACCGTTCCTGAGCAATGATTGAAATTCTTCTTCAACACACCTTTAGCAGCTAAGTTGTACAAGAAACTGCGCATCAGAAGAAAACAGATTTCTACGCGGTCTATTCACTATCTGAGAGACAGTCAAGTACTTAGTTAGTATCGTGATTTAGGGAAATTAATAGTTAACCATTGTCTTCCTCTGTGTGAATTTTGAAGTGAATAAAGTTGATCTCACAATTTCCTGCTTGAAACATGATTCGAAAAATTCGCCATTCTCACCTAAAAGAAACTACCTCTTTGTAATTTAACCAGTTTTTCTTTTTTTTCGTCCTGTTATGAATGGTTAAAGACTTGAAAACAAGTATTGTCACTTTCAGTATGTTATAAGCACCATTGAACAAAAAGAATTTAAGAAAAATGGTCGTCACTGACGTATTAATTTAATTGTTATCATTCTAAATTAAAATTTTACTAGACCTTGCTTGAAACAGTTAGTCCCTTTGATAAATTTGAATGAGACATCAAGAGAAGACAAATATCACGAAATGTGACACCACCTCGTTGTTCCTCTGCAATCTCTTCACAACTAGCATGGTTTACAATGGTAAAATAAATTGTATGAACAATTAATCAGTTATATAAAACAAAAGTATACATTAATAACCAATCATATTTCAATGGGTCAGTTAGTTCATGGTAGGCAAAAGTGTAAGTCTTTTTTGTCAGTACCCTTTGTTTGAGATGCATGGAATTATTCCAAAGTGCTTCCATCACCTTTAGTAACCTTGAATTAGAGTTATGTTTAATAATTGAGAGGCAGTCATCAATATTTGTGTGACCAGATAAGTGCTTTACTATGGATGATGTTGGATTTCTATCCGAATCAGATACATTTGGGTTTTGTATGGGAATTAAAAGTCATTTGGGTAAATGTTCTTTTTGGCAACTACTTATATGTGTGTCACCTCAGCTGCAGGTGAACTTGTAGGTACTTGTGAAGCAGAGTCCACAGGATTTTATCCTTTAATCGTAAGTATAGGAATTGTAAATGTTCGGGATGTAAGGAAAAGGGATGCGGCGTAGAATGTGCGCTTGATAGCTGACTGAAGCCTTTAAGCTATCAGTTGCATGATTTGATCACCTTCTAACGGTAGTTTAATAAAGATAGCTTTCTTTGACAGGGAAGCTGTTTTGCCAAAGAGCAGTCTGTCTTTAGTGTGATATGCAGTGAAGTCTTCTGGGTCACAATAAGTACTGCATATTCATCTTAAGGTCAATCAGTGAATATGGAGCCTCCAGAAATTTGAGTGCATTCCACAACTGTATTAAGACTGTAGACAAGATGTAACACAGCATACATGTGTTTCAGAGTAATAACCCTGTTGAACCGCTGCTCTTGTACTTGTTATATGATATATAGGACAATCTGCTACTTGGAACTATTTACTGTATTCAACAAAAGTTGTTTGGTAGTACACAGCTACAATTATGAATGTCGGTATCGCTAACCCAAGAATTTATGTATTCTAATAAAATTTTAAGGTTAATTTAATAAAAAATGAAATGTGAGCATCTTTTAATTTCGTTCGATATTTAGGTGTGTATGAAATTCAATTTCCTGGGTCGTTTACTAGCCAGAGCACTGTTAGACTGGAGAAGACTAGACTTGCCTTTTTCGCCAGCATTTTTCAAATGGTTTTCAGCCCCTTCAGCATACGATGCTGTCAGTTCAGGTCATATATTGCCAAATGATTTATCACTAGTTGATCCAGATTTAGGTCGACATGTCAGGCAGTTAACAGAATTGGTTAATCGTCGCCAAGCTCTATGTCGTCAATTATCCAGTCTAGATTCAAATGCTTCACCCGGATCATTTGGAGTTCACCATTCAAACAGTTCAATGGAAATCAAAAGTTCGCATCATTCACAGAAAATCGAATCTATTAAAGCTTCAATAGTGATGTTGGATAATGAAGTCGATGATTTATGTTTGAATTTCACACTTCCTGGATACGAAGTAGGCGGTGTTTCTTTACTCCTTTTTATTTTCTTTTTTTACGTATAAATTTATAAAATGAGTAAGTATTTAGTGAAAAAAGTTTTATCTGATTTGTGCCTTATCATTTGCTTCATGTTGAAACTATTCTAAGTAGCCTGATTCCACAAACCTACTATTAATTTTCTGGTTATAAGTTTTATTCTAGTCCATCTAGTTAGGTTCAGACGTATGACATAGACTCTGTGTTAGAAGTATTAGCTTTTCATTGATGAGTGAAACTGAAACAAAAATTAAAGTTGCTCTGTGTTAGCTATACTCTTGCTTTGTGTGCTACATGAAGTGTGGTGACTTGAACTGCCGCACATCGGTGCAAAGTTCTATGTCGAAAACAGACAGAGTGTTAGCTATACTAATGCAAACTTGTCGACTCCTAAAAGATTAGAAGAGGTTGTACACTTAAATTACTGAATTTTTCTAGCTTCCATTTCTAGTAATCTCACATTTAATATGGCTAAGAAAAAAGAGGCAACTATCATCACTTCAGCTGCGTCGAAGTTCGTGTATTTCTTAAACTTTTGGGTTAGTAAAAGGTTCAGAAACGATTGCGAATACTAATAATGTTTTAGATGTTATCAGAACCAAAAGATTTCCTCCTTTTGTTATTCAGATGAGAACTATTTCGAGTAATCTTTCCTAATGCGCTTTACTTAGAGTTGTCACCAGTACATTGTGGGAATTCTGTCATTTCCATCTAGTTTTAGACGCATCGTGCTTCAGTAGTAGTCCAGCAATAAAGCGCTCGCGAACAACGCTACAAGTGGTCCGAGGTTCGATCCTCGGCCGGTTCACCTCTAAACGTCGCCAAGCCCAGTAATAAAACCGGTAAAGACTCAGGATTGGGCGTGAGGCTAGCTAAACTGGCCTGTAGAAATAAACCCCACTGCTACCGAAACTTAAAAACTCTAGTCTGAGGCCTTATTTTCCACTCGGAACGTAAAGTTATATTCATCAGTACACATTTTGATAATTATGATTTATGCCATATATCTACTTTGTGATTTCGTTTCCGTTTTTATAGGTTGAACTAGTTAAAAATGGTGCACACATTAACGTCACTGGTGCTAATCTAAGCTGTTACCTTCGATTAGTCGCTCATTGGTTGGTTATTGAAGGTGCAAGTCGTCAAATGGATGCTGTCCTAAAAGGCTTTGATTCAGTACTTCCCAACATTCGTTCACGTTTAACTACACTATTTCAACCAGATGAAATGGAAAATTTATTTTGTGGTGAATCAACTCCTAGATTTGGTTCATTTTCAGTTGATCAGAATGGTGATATGAAATTTGGTAAATTTGATAAAATTCACTCAGCACCAGATGAAGAAGGCTGGGATGTACAAAGTTTAACTCAGTCATGTTGTTGTGATCATGGATACACTCCACAATCACGTGCTATTCGTTTTCTGTTTGAAATAATGTCTGAGTTCAATGCTGAACAACGTCGATTATTCGTACAGTTTGTTACAGGCAGTCCTCGGTTACCTGTTGGTGGTAAGTTGTTGTAAATCATTTATCATTGCGTAAACGTTACTGTCAAAAAAACAGTTAAAAAAGTGATATCAAAACCGTAGACTCACTGACTTGCGTCGAATCGGGTATGTAAGTCCAACAATATATACAATTATAGATATTAGATATTGTTTAGCAGCCACAAAGTGCCAAACAGATAGTTATAGGCATTATCAGTCAACAAGATTATATCCACGGATTCTGTGTTCGAAAGTCAAATAATTACAATAAATTCCGCAACTTCCTGGCAAGAAACGCCAGAGAAATAAGAGCCTTATGTAACTGGGCGAATGTAGTGTACTAATCGAAAAGCGTGTCAAGGTCGTTTTTTCGCTGTCAATGTTTAAGTAAATAAAAAAAATATTAATCCAACTTAGCGACTACGCATATTTTTATATCGCATCCATCAATTCATGGATAGTACAACTTGATCGTTTAGACTTTGGTAGATGAATGGAATGGAAGTAGGACTGCAGAGCCACTCTTTGAAATTCAATTATCCAGTCTAACAAGCTGCAACTTTGGAGATCAGTAGGAGCTTTCTATCACTAAAAGATGGAAGTATATAAATGCAAAGAAGTGGAATAGTTTGGTTTGTTAGAACACGATTGATTTCAAGATTGATTTTGTCACAAGTCAATACTGAATGGGAAAATCTAAAAAATCTCAGAAAACATTAATTAATCAGTTATTTCATTTTGACTTAGAATTCTTCAGTTGTGCTCCCTCACTACCTTTCCAGGAGACGTTAGGAAGTAGTCATGTTGAAAAGTAGTAATCAATAATTATCTTGTATGTTTTGACTTATTATTATTATCTAACGTAATCATAAGTTGTAACTGATGTCAATTTTTTGTTTTTTCAGGTTTCCGTGCATTAAAACCTCCATTAAAAATTGTTATGAAACGTGAGATAGGCGAAAATGCTGACAACCACTTACCTTCTGTAATGACATGTCAAAATTATTTAAAACTGCCTGACTATTCATCAAAAGAATTAATGCTTTCTAAGTTACTTTATGCTATCAGGGAAGGTCAGAATGCTTTTCATTTATCCTAATTCAGTTACACAACTGTAGGCAGGTGAACGATTTGGTTACTATACAGTTGCTATTGTTACTTACAGTTATCGATATTATTCTAGTAGTAGTTATATTATCAAGGGAATTTAAAGAAAAACATGTCTCATTTGTGTATGGTCACTCTTCTTTAACTCTACTATTACTATTAACAACGGCTGTAAATTGGTGTTTTTTGCTAGTTTAAACTAATGTCATCACTTTACACGTTGGTGTTGTTATAATATACATGCTAATAATGTATACATGAGATAGTAAAACAGAAAGTTGTTCTTGTTTTCCTACTAATAGCAATAAACCAATTTAACCTTCTCTCGATTTCCAATGGAGTAACGAGCAATGTTTCTGCTGTGATTCCCTCTTTGCTTCTTTTTCTCTTCAATGTGTTTGGTTGCATACGTATGTGTGTACACACACTTCTGTATCTTGTTCTGTTGAATATTCTGTATATCTCCTCTTATCTTGCCTCATCATTTAAACAAAACCCAAAAACACAACTGATATTGTTTATTTAGTTTAATTTTTTTTCCATTCGTTTATGTTAGTTGGCTTATCTCTTGCCTTGCCTGCCTTCTTCCAGTTTATTCACATGTATGATTGTTTGTTGCAGAAATAAGGAGTTTACACTTTTTTTCTAAGGCGTTTGTGACTGACTGCTGAGATTTCTGTTGTTTCTTCACATTTATGTGTATGAAAATCTTGTCCACAGGAACTGTACTGTACAATTAGGAATTTCATATTCATCTTGTTGTAATAACACGCTTTTTGTGCATCTGCTACTTTTTGTCTGTGTATTATTTGTTAGTTAACACAGTGGGTTGTGTTGTATGATGATCAGTTCATAAGTCATAAATACAGTTTGATGATCTACTCAGGCATTATAGAGATGCAAAATGAAAGTAACATAATGACAATCCACGGTTCTCATGAATTGTAAAGGTATACCTTTTGATATTCACACTTTGGATGAATCCTAACTATAAACACGTTTTTATTCACGCATATACATACAAATGATACCACACTGCATTTTCTGAGTCATCATATGAAAGTGTAGCGATATGATAAAAGATCATTTGATGATCACAACCTGCTGTCTTGTCTCTCTTTCTCTCTCTCTGCATTAGTTACTCGTGTGTGTCACCCTTGATTCTGTTTGCTTTACTATATATATGTGTGTGTGATTATCTTTTGTCAAAGTTAAAGTAAGTCTTCCCTGTCAAAGAAAGAAACCATAGTCTCACTTTTTCTTTATCTTGAATTTTTCCTTAACTTTCCATTTCTTCTACTCTAATACATGAGTTCGCCTACCACCTAATTCCCCCAAGCCCCCCCTCGCTTTAAAGTACTCTAAGGTACTTACTTCATATTTTGAATTCCTTGTTTTTTTGTTTATGCGTTTAACGTAAAGAGCGAGAGGAAAACATGAGAGCAAGAAGAAGAAGAACTAGCAGGTTTAATTAACTCTGCATTATATCTCATTTCATTATTACATAAATAATTGACAGTCTGATGATTGCATTTTTTCTTGTTATCCATATATGGTAAAGTGTATGTTTGTGTGTGTGTGTATATTTTTTGAGTAAATAAATTTCATTATTTTGACCTATTGTCTTGTTATTGCTTGTTTTTCGATTACTGTTTATTTTTTTCCTTACCTATCAACTGTATTTTGAAGGAGATTCCAGTAGTAATGGTCCCGGTTTCGAATGCCGGCAAACGCACACTCGTAAGCCTCGCATAACCGGTAGCAAGTCTAGGAAAGAGGGAAGGAGTGTGAGGCTAGCAACCGCATTCCATATGTGTCCTACTCAGAACGCAAAGGAATGAAACTAAAGTCGTAATAGACGTTAGATATACGTGTTTTTCAATAATGGGGTTTGAATAACTTCGTTACTCTAAAGAAAACGTATTTTACCTTGGCATTTTGTCAGTCTAGTCACCACTATTACGAGTGCTCCGTTTCAACAGCATAGTAATTTCGATGATTCTACAGTTATAATGATTATACCAAAAATGGGACATTCACTTATTTTCATGTTAAAATACTATTGCTCGTAATGGCATACTTGTTTCTTCAACCGTTATTATTAGATAAAGTTTGTTGCCTTAAGCACTGTAGTGAGGAGTTCGACAATTGGTAGACAATGACATACATGCGATATATCCTTTGTACTTTATCTTTCATTAATCTGAAATCTCAGTCTGGAAGTATACTGCACTCAGCTTGAGGAGCAAGATTCAGATTTTTAGCATTATTGTCAAGTCATTGCTTGTACATACTGAAGATCAGATGGCCAGAAACGATTGGCAAGAAGAAACTTTGGCAGGCAACGAACCAACCAAGGACCTATTGTCTAACAAATATACCGGTGAAAATGAAGAAGGATTTACTGGATACTGAGGAGACCATTGCGTGACACCACACACTAAGCAGCTGGCTGAGCGTACCTGAATGTTAGACGATGAGCTGGATGGTAATTATGCGCGGAGGTGAAAGCTTATAAACAACCGTGGAGGGGGGGGAGCCAGAGGGATTACAGAGAACAAGATGAAAATGGAGATGCGTTATTGAAGCCCTATACTCCGCACGGAAACCAAGGGAATAATAATACTTTGTTTTCGGTAAATAAGTATTCTCTAATATGCCAGTCAATCTTTAATGTTATCACTGCTAGTTGCTTATTGCGTCTACCACCTCTTACATCTTGAAAAAGAAGTGATAATGCTTTTTAACAAAGTTAAAATATTCTTAAGGTAACATTTTAATCATGTTAGACGTAAAGCATATTTAAGACCTATAGTAGTACTGTGATAGAATATGAATGAATGATAATAGCTTTATTCCAAAACAGTACTTGTGATACAGAATGGAATTCTCAGCATTTCACTACAGTATTGCATCCAGTTAGTAAATTAACAATAAAATAAAATTCTACATAGATAAAGGGTAATCTCAGTTAGTTTTGACAACAAAATATTTGCATGTCGGTAGCAATGCCAAAATTGAACAGTGTTTGAAGGTGCTAGAAAAGTAGGTTCTAGCATATTTACTGGCGTAAGCAGAAGAAAGAAACAAAGCTACATAACAGAAAAAAGAGAGAAAAGGAAAAGAAAGAAAAACATACCTGTAAATGATATGAGTTGGAGAGACGAGATCCAGTTGTTCTACTGACTATTTAATAAGTTAAAGGTTTCACGTCTAATGCTTTCTTTATCGCACAGAACACGAGCTAATTAGGATATGGTTAAGTTTTAGTACTTCCTAGTGCGAGCATTTAGTTTTCTATATAGGCTTCTGGATTTCCCTGAAGAGATACAAGGGGAGAGTTATGAATGAAGAGGGTGTTGTGAGTTAGATAAAGTGGATTTTGCCGCATTTTTCACATGAGTCCATGTGCCTGTCAACCAGAATATGAAAGCAGTAATCTTAAGCTAGGAGTTATATGTAAATTTAAAAAATGCAGAGTAACTAATTGTTATGTGTATTTAGTTGTGTTTCGTGTATCTCGCATATTTGGACTTTTCGATGCAAACAACAGCATACGATATGCCTTTAACATCATATTGACAGGCTTAACTAGGCGATTTCAGTTGTCTTCCTAATTTATTTATATTTTGTGTCCTCTTGATACGTTGATTATTTGCCTTTCAAAGTAGAAAAAAAGTTTTGGTATACTGACGAAATTTTAGGGCACATTTCTGTAAACAGTTATTGACGAGTTGATTTAGGCATAAATTCAATTGTCACGGTAATCATAAACGCCTTTTTTGTTAATTACACAATAAAGATAGTTTCTTTTATATTTTATTCATCAATAAAGATTATCACACCATATGACTCCGCAACTATTATTACCATCATGTCAATAGGCGAATATCCATTTATAATATTGAACAAATATTTTCAAGTTTTATATCAAACAACAGAATATGTGCAGTCAATCCATTTACACATGTAACATTCTTTTTTTAATGTCAGAAAACGAGATCAATTTGGTTACAGATTGAATTTTTACCTGTGCATATAATTAAGGTTGTATAATTCAGTTAACTGGTATCAAACTTTATATATTATGACTCATGAAATTATTCAGTTGCCCAAAATCGAAGTAAATAGAATGGAGTATGAATCGTCTCACCCGTCATCTAGAACTCAAGAGATTAATATGTTTCTAAGTATGTATCGTTCTGATTGCAGGATTCTTAACTGCATCCTTTAAATAGGTTTCTTATATAATGAATACTCCACTGAGATGTCTACCTTCAAAAGTCTTGACCCATCGAATGCTGCTTTCAATAGGCCAATTTAGTACCAGGCTTAACACCATGATGTTATAATCAACTGGATCGCTCAATTACTTACCAGAAAACAAGACTTTACGATCCAAAGATTGATATATCGCAAGCCAACAAGGACGGGACAGTTTATCAATTTCCAGAGCTTCTCCCTACTGATAAGAAAGCAAAACCTTGTACGTACATTAAGTTTAAGGATTAGAAAAATCTGTTCAGATGACATGATAGAGAAAGAATTAAATTTATTACTTGAAACCCTACTAGAGAACGTATATCCACCTAGTTTCATCGACAAAAACATGAAGGAGAAGCCTCCGTCACCAAAACTCACAACTGTTCCTAAGAAAACTCTCTTCATGAACCTGTAATTCGAGGGTGACATCGCAGCGGAAAATCTCAGAAACCGCCTTTCTAAATGTCTGAAGAAGACATTTCCAACAGCCAACTTACGTATCACATTCTCTAGCAGACAGTTAATTTAGTCTAATGTTAAAGATACGATATCGCTTTTGGCCGCTTCAATGTATATTTATAAATTTACTCACTCGTCTGGAGCAGAGTTTATCGGGCGCATGCAATGTCAGGTCCACGAACGTATTCTGGAGCATTGTCCAGCTTGGTTAGCCTGAGGAGAAAAGAAGAAAAGTAAGAGCTCTATCCTCGAACACTTCGTCAACTGTGGATATCGAGCACCCTCGCATGAATGCTACACAGAGTCCCTCAATATCGTCCGAAGGGACTCCTCAGACGCCATCTATAAATAGCTGAAGCATTAGCTATCCAGGATCTGAAACCGGACCTCTGCATTCAAAAGCGATACATACCGTGGGCAGAGTAAAGTTCTTACCATAATTTTGCTTCCTCTTTATTATTGTTATTGCTGCTCTTATTTTATTATCATTATTATTCCCACCATCCATATTTTATTACCACTCTACTACTGTTTATTATTAACACTGCTTTTTCATACACATTTTATATAAAAACACTTTATCGTCTTTCCACTAGTTCCTGTCCATTCTACACGAGCTTATTGATTAGTCATTATCTCACTTATTACGTCATGCCAACTTTTGCCTCCTTTCTAACTACCAATTAGTTATCCCTTCTAGGTTACACTTTACATTACCTAATACATTTTTCGAGGACAAAGTTTATCAGCATCTGATTGGTCTAATGATTTCTTTGTTAAATGTAATAGCGCTGTACAGCCCATGAAAATGAATCGTTGAAAAGGAAATTTTCTAGGCTGTTTGTGTGTTTTTCTTATAAAAATGCATGTATCTAGGTAGTTTTAAACGTGGAGGTGACACGAATTTTGTAACTGTGTAGGGAAAGCCTGGATGGCACACTACAATCTGGATCAGTTCTGGAACGACTTTAGTCCGGCTGTTTAAATTAGGGCTTACAACGCATCAGCATGTTCATTTTTTTGGCTGTACATCCATGAAACTTGGTTTCTCCGGCACTAGTATGTCCAGTGATTCTATGTGTCCAATTACGAGTCTCTCTGTAGGATTGCTCGCAACCATTGATGCCACGGTATAATTAGTTTTGGAGTCCGATGGTGTGTATTTAAAAGTGGCGGAGATGTTGTCTTAGGACCCTGTTTTCAGTGACTTGAAATGTGCTACAAATGTCAGTCAATTGATTCCAGTACCGTTTACTGACTGGCTAACCCAGAGATTAGATGTGAAATGCAGAAAGGGGATTATTCCGTGATGATGGTGCCTTAGGGCAACTGATACAAATACTGAGTTAGCATATGTTGGTGATTGACGACTTCCTACCTGGTATCCAAGAAGTCATGCAGGTGAGTAGTTCGACATACTATCAGATGTGATTTGGAATCTAAAGCAATGACGACGATAAATTCCTCCTCTTTTTGAAAGTAGCCTGAAGTAATGGCCGCTCCTTTGAATGCCTTTGATAAGAATGTCTTCCTGTTTCCCGATGCTTTTGTTAATCAGCTGCTTTATTTCTCTTTTGATCATATTGTTGTTTTACTGTTCTGGTGCGTATACTGCACTCAAATTTTATTTAAAATAAAATCAGAATTCTTCTCCGTTTTCTTTCCGTTGCACTAATGAATGAATAACTATCTATATTCATTCTGCTCTGTTTCATGTGTATAAAAGGCATTACTTCTGTAGTTATCACACAAAGTACAATAAATATCATTATAAAACCACAAAGATTTTTAAATAAAACTCCAGTCTTTACATGAGTATACAGTAGAGGTTTTAATTAAGCTTTTAGAAAGAAAAATATTAATTTTTGGATTTCAGTAAAGTTAAATATTTGATGAT